AGGAGTGCAAAAAACGCACTCTCACAGTCCCCTGTTCTGAAGATAAACATGACCGCTTTGCCTTTGAACATGCCCAAAGTGTCAGCCAATTTGATGCTTCATTGCTGGACAGGTCACCCGTTCAGAAGTATCTGTGCAGTGCTCAGCCATCACAGTTTGCATGTGACCCCAACCCCTAAAAGCTGGTTAGAACGATGGGAATATTGGTATCTTCATTTCATTTCCTTTCCTTTTCATCCAGTTTTCCGCCCCTACCTGAAATCATGATCCGCGGTATTGTCGAATCCAAGTGCATGAACATTCCAGGATCATTCAACTGGTGAAAGGGAATCATTCATTTACCTTGATATACCTGATGAATGCCATGATATATTGCATCCCATGATATATCCCCATCAAATTGTACGTACCCCAGTGATTTTGGTTGGTCGGAGGCCCCAACTTGTGGAAAAAATTACCCATATGGTGAGAGCCGGTGAGAACAATCATTTTGTATCCCAATTATGTCTAATCCATCCTATCTATATCCCACTGATCGCATTGATATCTCATTCAACTGGACTCAAATCCCAGGTTGCAGCAGCTGGCGCTGCTGCCATGGCCATGAAGCGCTTTCGCTCGCCCGTCCTTTCGCCCAAGGCGAAGGCCAGGCATCTTCTAGATTTTATCAGAGTTCCTTCCGCTTCCTTCTCCTTCTCCTCCCGAGACCAGACGGAATCGGCCACCCACTACCAGAGTCAGACCACAGTGAGTCAATCATCCCCCATGTCGGAGTCAGTCACCCTCCACAGCCCCACTGGGGGCGAGTGCTGACTGCCCTGCGGCGTGCCTCGTGGGCCATCAAAGTGACATGGTTTCTTTAGGGTTGGTTCAAGGTTGTTTGAAGATGTATTGGTGTCTATTTAGGGTTGGTTTTAGGGTTGGTTTAAGCTTTCTGCAGGGTTTCCTCATGGTTTGTTTTAGGGTCTATTTAGGGTTGTCTTAGTGTTGGTTTGGGGTTTATTTAGGATTGGTTTAGGGTTTTTAAAGGGTTGGTTTAGGGTAATGATGGGTTTCGTCAAGATGTGTTTTAAGGTTGGTTTAGGAGTTATTTAGGCTTGGTTTAGGGTTTATTTAGGCTTGGTTTAGGACATATTCAGGCTTGATTCAAGTTTTGTTTAGAGTTGGTTTTGGGCTAATGTAGGGTTTCGTCAAGGTTTGGTTTGGGGTCTATTTAGGGTTTACTTAGTGTTGGTTTGGGGTTTATTTAGGCCTGGCTTAGGGTTTTTAAGGGTTGGTTAAGGTTAAGCTAGGGTTTCATCAGGGTTTGTGCGAAGATTAGGGTTTATTTCGGCTTGGTGTAGGGTATAGCCAGGTTTGGTTTAGGTTGTATTTGAGGTTAGCTTTGGGTTAATGGTTAATGTCGGGTTTTGTCAAGGTTGTTTTAGGGTCTCTTTAGGGTTCACTTAGTATTGGGTTTGAATTTTTTAACCTTGGTTTAGGGCCGGGTTTATTTAGGAATTTGGGTTTTGTCGGGTTTGTTTTAGGGTTTATGTAGTCTTGCTTTGGTTTAGGGTTTCTTTTGGTTTGGTTTAGGGTTGAATTCTTGTTTTGTTAGGGTTTGTTTTGGGGCTGGTTTAGGGTTTGTTTTAGCGCTGGTTTGGGGTTTACTCAGGGTTGGCTTAGGGTTTATTCAAGGTCGGTTTAGGGTTTATTTAGGGTATGTTTAGGTTTCGTTTTGGGTATATTTAGGGGTTGGTTTAGGGCATATTTCGGGTTGGTTTAGGGTTAATAGGGGTTTTGGTTTAGGCTCTACTTAGTGTTGCTTTGGGGTTTCTTTGGGGTTGCGTTAAGGCGTTAAGGTTTCTTGAGGGACTCTTTGTTGTTGACGTTCCGTTTTTCCATGTTCCCATGGGTTCCTTTATAGATAGACTGATAGATAGATAGACAGTCAGATAGATAGATAGATAGATAGATAGGTAGATAGATAGATAGCTTTCAGGGGTGGCTGACTCTTTTTGTTGTTGACTTTCTGTTTCCCCGGGGTTCCTGGATTCTCCTTCCAGGGTGACCGACTCTTTGTTGTTGACTTTTTGTTTTCCCCGGGGGTTCCTGGATTCTCCTTCCAGGGTGACCGACTCTTTGTTGTTGACTTTTTGTTTTCCCCGGGGGTTCCTGGATTCTCCTTCCAGGGTGACCGACTCTTTGTTGTTGACTTTCTGTTTTCCTCCGGGTTCCTTGATCCTCCTCCCGGCCTCGAGGGGTGACGGACTCTTGGTTGCTGACTCTCTGTTTCCTCCTCTTGCTTTCCCTGCATACTGTGCTAGTGTTCACCGGTGACTGACTTTGTCCAATGGGGTTCCTGACTCGGACGTTTGGGGCGACTCACTCGGGTCAGTGACTCTCTTTGCCCTTCTCCTCCCTCAACCGCAAGGGCCAGATCTCAGCGGGCATTGCTGGACTTCAACCGCGAGCTCCAAATCTCAGTGGGCACTCCTGCGCCTCAACAGCGAGCGCCAGATCGCAGTGGGCACTGCCGGACGTCAACCGCGAGGGCCAGATCTCAGTGGGCACTGCCGGGCCCCAAGCGCGAGGGCCAGATGTCAGTGGGCACTGCGGGACCTTTTTGCGAGCGCAAGATGTCACATAGAATGTCAGATAGAATGTCAGATAGAATGTCAGAACATATGTCAGATAGAATGCCAGAAAGAACGTCAGAATGGATGCCAGGTAGAAAGTTGAAATAATATGTCAGGGCAGGGATCACGCGAAGTAAAGTATATATTATATATAATTGTTATGGGGCAGCTGGGGTGGTTTAGAAACGAAAGCTCTTCGATCCGTGCGTATGCATGCATGCATGCATGCATGCATACATACATACGTATGTACGTACGAACGTCCGTCCGTCCGTCCGTCCGTACGTACGTAGATACATACGCATATATTTTTTCACATATTTTCACACACAGTGTGTCTATGCGTCTATGTGTGTATTTGCCTATGCGCCTATGTGTAAAAAATAAATATGCATTTATGTATACATGTAAAAATGATATGTATACATGTATATACGTAAACATGTATGTGTATATATGTACAAATAAAAGTATGTATACATGTTAGCATGCAAATATGTATATGTAAATATGCACATATTTTTCCCCATATACATGTATGTATGTAATGCAACGTAATCTTATGTGATGTAATGTGATGTGATGTGCTGTACTGTACCGTGCTGTGCTGTGCTGTGCAGTGCTGTGATGCATGCATGTGCGCGTGCGTGCGTGCGTGCATGTATGTATGTATGTATGTATGTATGTATGTAGTTATTTATGCATGTATGTATGTATGTTTGAATGTATGTATGTTTGTAATGCATGTACGTATGTATGTATGTAAGTATGTATGTATGCATGCATGAATGTATGGATGTAAGTATGTATGTATGCATGCATGAATGAATGGATGTATGTATGTATGTATGTTATGTTATGTTATGTTATGTTATGTATGTATGTATGTATGTATGTATGTATGTAATGTATGTAATGTATGTAATGTATGTAATGTATGTAATGTATGTAATGTATGTAATGTATGTAATGTATGTAATGTATGTAATGTATGTAATGTATGTAATGTATGTAATGTATGTAATGTATGTAATGTATGTAATGTATGTAATGTATGTAATGTATGTAATGTATGTAATGTATGTAATGTATGTAATGTATGTAATGTATGTAATGTTTTGTTTGTTGGATGTAATGGATGTAATGATGTAATGATGTAATGTTGTAATGTTTTGGTTTTGTTATAAGTGCCTTTCCTTTCTTTGGTTGTTATGTATTTCCTTTCTTATGTTAAAAATGTAATGTATGTAATGTATGTAATGTATGTAATGTAATGTATGTAATGTATGTAATGTATGTAATGTATGTAATGTATGTAATGTATGTAATGTATGTAATGTATGTAATGTATGTAATGTATGTAATGTATGTAATGTATGTAATGTATGTAATGTATGTAATGTATTAATGTATGTAATGTATGTAATGTATGTAATGTATGTAATGTATGTAATGTATGTAATGTATGTAATGTATGTAATGTATGTAATGTATGTAATGTATGTAATGTATGTAATGTATGTAATGTATGTAATGTATGTAATGTATGTAATGTATGTAGGTATGTAGGTATGTAGGTATGTAGGTATGTAGGTATGTAGGTATGTAGGTATGTAGGTATGTACGTATGTACGTATGTACGTATCTACGTATCTACGTATCTACGTATGTACGAATGTACGTATGTACGAATGTACGTATGTACGTAGGTAGGTAGGTAGGTAGGTATGTATGTCATGTATGTATGTATGTATGTATGTACGTATGTATGTGTGTGTATGTATGTATGTCTGTCTGTCTGTATGTATGTATGTATGTATGTATGTTTGCATGCATGTATACATGGATGTATGGATGTATGGATGGGTGGATGGATGGATGTATGGAGGTATGGATGTATGGGTGTACTCTATGTAGTATGTACATATGTATGTACGTATGTACGTATGTACGTACGTACGTATGTACGTATGTACGTATGCATGTATCTACGTATCTCATATGTACGTATGTACGTATGTACGTATGGACGTATGCATGTATGTATGTATGTACGTATATGTACTTATGTACGTATGTACGTGTGTACGTATGGACGTATGGACGTATGTATGTATGTATGTACGTACGTATGTATGTATGTACGTATGGACGTACGTACATACGTACGTACGTACGTTCGTACGTATGTATGTATTTATGTATGTATGTATGTGTGTGTGTATGTATGTATGTATGTACGTATGTATGTATGTATGTATGTATGTAATGTATGTAATGTAATATAATATAATGTAATGTAATGTGATGTAATGTAATGTAATGTATGTATGTAATGTATATATGTATGTAATGTGATGTAATGTAATGTAGTGTAGTGTAATGTAATGTAATGTTATGTTTTGTTTTTATGTATGTATGTATGTATGTATGTATTGCATTTATGTATGTAATGTAATGTAATGTAATGGTATGGTATGGTATGGTATTGTATGGTATGGTATGGTATGGTATGGTATGGTATGTATGTATGTAAGTATGTATTATTGCATATGTTTATGCATGTGTATGTGTACGTGTCTATATGTATATATAGGTGTTTGCGTTTGCATATCGTGTATGTATGTGTATGGTCATTTGCACATGCATGTATATTATGTATATAAGGAGTAGCGAATGTTAGTATAGTTCAAATTCAACTAATTATTTGCCAGTGTTCAAGTGCACCTCCACCGATCGGATGAAAACAGATTTGAGGTGCAATTTTCACACCGAACCACCGAAACAGCCATGGACAACCCCCCAAATCCGCCATTTTCCGCACATCAATGAACTTGTTTTATCATGATAGATCCCCTGGTTAAATCACCACTTCTTGCGTCAACATTTTGCCTGATGCATCCTCCAACCTGGATCAGGCAATGTCGCTGCGCCGTGTCGCCATCCGACGACACAGCGATCATCTCGTGGCGGCAACAGCTGAAGAGGCGATGGGGTCAAGGCATTGGCTACACCAAACACTTACGGCGAAAAATCGGACGCTTGAAGGTTGAAGTTCGAAGTTCCAAAGAATGGCGAAATAATGAAATATACTTATAGTAATTTTATGTACCGGTGGTTATGATATATTGTGATGCAAGATGTTGACAGTTTGAAAATTGTGCAAGAAAAAATCATTGGCTCCATCGTCGATTTCCGAAGCTTATGCGAACTTATGCATGCCAGCTTATGCCAACACCCGTGTTTAAAAATACTTTTCAGATGTGCATGACTGACAGCAAACACTGCCTGCCATGATCAAAAGTTAACCCATGCCACAGCAGGCCATGGTTACTTTTGCAGCTTCACAAGCTGCCGAGACCAGGGCTGAGCTGCTGATATTGTGCTGCGTGGTACTGTGGTACTCTTTGCGACACCTTTTTGTTTTGTTTGGTGGCTTTCTGTCACCATGTCACACTATGCGTTGGGTTTGTTTCCGACTCAGGCACACAGAGAATCCCAGGGCGACCAGCAATCCCAATGAAGAAACTGATGAGAAAGATGACGTGTGACCACTCAGAAAGGGAGGATTAAGACGCTTGGGGTCACACATTTCAGAAGGCAACTGCCGCTTTCCCAAGACTGTTTATCGTTTCTCGAAAGTGTTGTGGAGTGCGAATTCTTTGAAACCGTTCCCAGCTTCGAACAACTCCTGGTCATATCATGTCACCGTCATGTCACCATGGCAAAAGTTCTGCTTGTGCCCTTGCATGTCACCTTGCGCCCCTCATTCTCTGCGGTCTTTGCCTCAGGTTCTTCCACCTACCGCGGACCTTGACAGATCTGGGTTGGCTCAAGCAGAGTCAGACATTGCGGGTGAGAGTGAGACGAAAACATAGAAGAAAGATGAAGAAAGGCTGTTTCAAGCTGCATGTTTTGAATCCGGTGCATGAATGAAGGTGGGCAATTCTGTGATGCGCAAAAACATGGAATGGAATCGAAGAGTCCAAACATTGAACCTCCTTGTCCTAAAATCTGGGTGCAGAGCTGCCCATGATGCTTTTCAAGAGCCCGAGGGCAGACAACAACTTCGGCACAAAATGTTCGATTCTGACTTCACAAGAAAGATGAGAAAGGATAACCGGATGAAGGTTGTTGGTTCAGCCCCAGGCGAAATGGGCTTGGCCCCGTGTCACTGACTGCCTGATTTCTGGGGCGGTCATAGCTAGGAAGCTAGAAAGCTATCCGCCTGGTGCCAGCCAGTTGCGCTTCAGGCCATTGGGATCATTGCCCTTTCGGCAATCCAAAATGACGTTCATTTAGCAACTAGCATTGGCAGCATTGGGCTGCCTGGGCTGGTTGAAATTTGACGGCGCTTGTTGCTGTTTTTTCTTTTTGCTTCGTGACAACGTCTATAGGTTTCTCCTGTAAGCGGCTCTTCCTCTGGGGCTTCACAGCCAAACTTTCGGTTAGTCAGGTATTTGCGGATGCTCGATCTAGCAGAGAGCCCGGTGGATGCTGAGCTTCTTCTAAAAGCGAAGGCCTTGGGGATCCCTGGGGGCGCATTTGGTCTCTATTGAGCGAGGTGAATTCCAAGCTGCTGAATCATCGTTGTCAAAGCAGCCTGTAGCAATACTTCTACAGATAGCAATGGCTGAATGCTGCGAATGAGGATGATATGTGGAACATAGTATATACATATAACGACGCTATCTAAAAACTTTCCATGGTCAGAAGGTGCAATGATTGTTTTTTTTTAAGAATAAGAGTTGTAATCGCAGTTGCAGTCGTTGTTGATGTTGTCTGCAATGTGAATAGCACCTTTGGCACCTTGCTCTTACCTCTCTTACCTCTCTTACCAGTTTTCCTGAAAAGATGGGGTGCCTGGATGGTCACCACCATTTTCTGTGCTCCATGTGGCTCCAGGAGCGGCAAGCTGCCTATGATATGTGGCATGCTGAACGAGATCCGGTGCGCCATTAGCAACAGCAAGAAGCTCATGGAAAGAGTTGCCGATTTTCTTCATAAAAGCAAAGTTAATCTTGAGGTATTGAACATAGTGACATACTGGTCACCTGAGCCCCTGTCTTTGAAGCCACCCGGAGCTGGATTTTGGGACTGGTAGAACTGGTGCAGGCTTTGGTGCTGTTTCGGAAGATGTTCGGCAAGGAATGGACTGAGGGCTTTTCTCGCAGCATCCTCTTTCCGGGCTCGGCGCAACCGGCGCAACGGGGACAACCGGCTACTGAGACCTTGGAGGCGGCAGGTGTTGAAATACAACTGGTGGAAAAAGAAGCTGCGAGGTGTTCAGATGCTGCAAATTAATCATAAAACTTGTGTGAGGTGTTGGAGATTGAATCCACAGAAAGCCTTAATTCACCTTTTTTTGGTGCATGTTTTTCAAACGACGCCTTACGACCCATTCTGTTTGCATCTGCAGGCAGGCGCAATTCTTCCATCTGGTTACTGACAGTTTGAAGAGGTCACATCCACATGGCTGGTTTGACGGATGCGTCGCCGTCAGATCAAGGGACACAATGCAGCTTGAAAAAGGCAGGCTCGACAACGGCAAGTTTTTTTGCTACGCAGCTTTGACGGGTTTGCAAGTCAACAGCTATCAACAGCTCAATAGTACTATTGCAACAATAGGTTCGTGTTTTTGCATCAGATCACCATGCAACCGAGCCTCTCACCAAGGAGTTGCAAGCTTTAAGGTCGGAATTTGACAGCAAAGGGCAACAAACTTGACACCCATAGCGAGACCAGACTTAAGTGAAACCAACATCAGGAAAGCATCGGACTTTAGACAGCCATGTTGTATTCGCAGCACAGAGCACTGGGGACTGTAGGACATGACGCTTTGAGATCCCCGGCTGGGCTATGCGGGGGCGAGAGCTCATCAAGCGAGGGTCAGCCTGGAGATCTGCAGATTTGGGTATGCCTCAACAGTAGAGCGCCAATAGACCACTACACTTTGGTATACTTCGGTCTTTTCTTTCGTCATCGTCGTCATCGTCGTCGTCGTCGTCATAATCATGGTCATAATCAGAATCATGGTCATAATCAGAATAATTATCATCGCCACCACCACCGCTATCATCATCCGTGCCCACTATCATCGTCATCAGTCATCAGTTTACTCCTGCAACCGTCCTGCTAGCTTTCGTACTCTGGCCAGCAGTGATGTAGCATGGCAGGTGGATCAAAACCTACTCCCGCGAAACCGGCTGGGGCTTCATCGTGTGCAACGAGGCGGGAAACCTTTAGCAGAGCAGTTCACGAGGCGTGTTTCGTGCAAACGATACACTGGAATTTGATGCAGCCGTGCAGGTGGAAAGAGATATCTTTGTTCATTGGAGGTGCCGTGTAGCGCAGCTACCGCTCTTGTTGGAACCCTGGATTTTTTGTGATCTGCAAATAGCCTGATGAAATATTGCCGTTCAGAGAGAGGGCTCAAGGGAGGAATTGATGGTTGTGTTCGGCTTGGGATAGTGCGCCTTTCTAATTTGCATGAATCATCTGGTTTTTGTGATTTGCATGTGCTTGTGAAATCGTTGTTTCCTCTTTTCCCTTCCGGTTCATGTTTTGCATGTTTTTGCGAATTGTTGTTTCTTTTTTTCTTCTCGTTCGGTTCTGAATCAGTCTTGCATGTTTCTGTTTTTGTATCTTTGTTCATGTGCTGGTTTAGCATGTTTTTTGATATGCAACCACGATGCCAAGAACTGCAACAGCATAAACTGAGACGTGCAGGCAACATGTGCAGACATATAAGGCGCAAAGGGCCAATAAATACCTACAGAGAAATGGGCAAAGAAGGCCTTAAAACAATTCCAAATTCAACATGTGAAATAAAACTAGAACGTACATAATATGCATAAATTATACATCTAATTATTATATGTATATGTATAGTATAGATCGATAATTAGTAGATACATGTATATAAATAAACATATTTGCTGCACAAACTGCACATTTGATACATTTGATATTACATGGATGTTGGAAAGGCTAACGGCCAGCGCAAATCCAGAGACAAACATGCGGAATTTCCAACTGTCCGTTTTTTTGGTAGTTTTTTCTCTTGGCATGGGCCACAAATAGCAGAACCTTCCAGGACGCATTCGTAGTGCACGAAAACACTAGGATAGCCTTTCCTCAACCTCCTTGCGACAGCACGACAGCATTTGTTTTCTTCCTTCTAACGTATTCAAATGAATGAATTGGTGGAACCTTCTTGGCCACTTGCTGTTTTTCTTGCACGCGGGAACATGTCCATCAGTGGATGAGCGCCCTTTCAGCAAGGCTGCGTGAGGCTAGCCAAGGCTGCCTGGAGGTATGTGAGGTGTCAGGATATGGTCGATGCATCTGCACGGTCGCAAAAGTTGCTAGAGGCGAGCTGCTGGTCAAAGAAAAACCTCTGGCACTGGGCTCATCTGATGGTCTGTGTTTGGCAGAGGTGTGTGTGGAGGGCCAGAATTTAGATGCAGCTGATGATTTGATTGCTTCTTGCATCCTGCTGGAAACCAATGCGGCCAGGGAGGTGCAAGAAGCACGTGTGGTTGCAGGTGAACTTGCCAGCACTGAAAATCAGTCAGAGAACTTGTTGCCGTGTCTTTCAGATGATGTTTTGGAAACTTTGGCGGCACACGGGTCCCCTTTAACAATCCTTCAAAGATGGCGTGGCGTTTGTGACATCAATGCGGAGACCTGGGCAGAGTTTGTTGACGGTCCAGACGGCAACATTCGGTTTCTTTTCGGCTTGTTTGGAGCCTTGGCACTGGCTGAGCATAGCTGTCATCCAAACGCAAGAGCAGAGTGGGATGAAGAAGAGCAAGCCATGAGGCTTGTTGCGACTGAAGATATTGATGCTGGGCAACGCGTTTCCAGGTCTTATCTTGACGTTGGGTCTTTGCTGTCCTCGGCCAGTATGCGGCAGGATACCCTGCTGAGGGATTGGCATTTTCGATGTGAATGCTGTCGCTGCAAAGACGAAGTATCTGGTATCAGACCCTTCAAAGGCAATGACAAAGAGACACTGGCCTTTCTTGCAGCCTTGGATTTACAGCGCTGTGTTGACACAGGTCTTACCTTGGATGAGGATTTCAAGGAGGCCGTGCGAGCGGCCACTTCTGCTTGTGCCATGTATGGCCTCCCAGCCGTTGGCACGTTGTATTTCCTCCAAGGCGTTTTGGCCAGGGGGGAGGGCGACCTGCGGATCCTGAGACTACACTTCCCTTCCGCTGAGCCGTCACCCAAGCGGGGCAAAGTTGAGTGACCGCGGCCTCCAATGTGTTTCCGTTGTGGGCCTCACATTTAACGGAACCGAACTGTCAAAGTACATGCTGAGTGAGAATTTGCCATTTCCTGACATTCAAGAACGCGAAAGCATTGAAACCTTTGCTTCGACTTAGCTGACATGTATGGATGCAATCCAACTGCTTGGACAATCACTTCATGCAGAAGTAGCTTTTCTTATGGCCTTGCTCTGCAGCAACTTCGAAGTGCTTGCTTCACATTAAATTCCCAAGAAGGTTGGAAAAGTACATAAGACAGGACATCAGAGAAGTGATTTTTATTGAGTGGTGTCATCCAAATCTTTTTAATCGGATTAGCCCGGATTAACCAGGATTAGGTGATTTAATGTCTCTTTGTTTGCACGGGGCTCAAGACCTGAGGGTCAGAGGTGTAGACAGAAGATTTCAAAGGTGTCCCGTCCCAGTACGGTGTGCAACCTTCAAAGATGAAGATCCTCGCTGGAATTTGTGTTGGGCAGAGTGACATTTCTATCAACATTTGGCAACAGGGTACTACATGTACTTTACTACATACTACAAAATACATGAACATACTACCCATTCGACCCATTCAGTGTTTCTTTTCTCAGGCAACTGACTCACTTCGATTTTGCGGGTGTGAACTTGCACTAAATCATTCACCTCACCAAGGATTCCGACGGCGAATGTGCCGGCGCCAATGACGAAAGATGAGCCAGATTCCAAGTGATTCCACGTGATTCCAAGTGATTCCAAGTCAACAGAATTCAACAGTTTGGATTTTTTGGTTTTTCATTCTCCATGGGGCCGAACAACAAAATAATTCATCCTGCTGTTCTGCACCTCAATGGTTTGCTGAAGCAAGTATTCAAATTTGCCTCTATGTGGCAGTAACATTTTCATTCCAAAACGTGCTTGCGTTGTTGCGTGCATGCATGTCATGCCTCAAACATATACTCAAAAGTAAGCAGCAAGAAGTGCAAAGCACCAAAGACTTCGAAATCGCTCAAAAATTTGCAGAACTTTTATGTATAGTGTACAAATCTGCACTGTATCCTGTAATTGCTTCAACAAACCCATGCATTGAATCTGCATCAGGTGCGAGGCCTTCAAGACCAAGGCAGGTCATGGCAATAAGTCATGGTAGCCTTGCTCTCGTGGCAGTTGCTGGGCCGGGTTTTAGGTCCATACGGAGCTCAAGTTTACCTATGCAGACGCGAACAAGAGATGTGCGTCACTTCCAGATCTTCACAAGATCAGAAATGCCGTGGTCCCAGACTTTTTTTTTGTCTTGAAGGTTTTGATGGATTGATGGACTGATGAAAAAACACATCTTCAAATTGGTTTGGCCTTTCAAGCATGCACGCTGCATGTCAGGTCTGCACCTGCATGTCAGTTGAGTTTTTGGATTGCTTGGCATGAACACAGGGATACTTCGGCTACTTCAAGGATGAGAGACATCCTGTCTCCAAGGAGACCTAAACAAAACTGATCAATCAAATGGATATAAATCGATCAATCAAAATGGATATGCCGCAAATTCGTCACACCCACTGAAGAGAGCCGATGCTCTTTGTCTTGTAGATGGTTTGGCCATCGAAAGAAATGATGTATCGAAGCTGTCGACGGAGAAGGTGAATCCATCGGCACCCCGCACCAGACTTTGGCAAGACTCCAGGAGCACGGCTTCACTTATGATCAGCTCAAGGAGCCCATTCAAAGGGCTGCGTCGTTCGGCAAATGAGAGGTTTCCCTCACCTTTCATGTTACTGTTGGCATACTTTTTTCATATTTTTTCCAGGGATGTTGATGCCGCCATCCATCGCCGCTCTTTCATTTGCCAATAGCATTTGGCCCGTGGTCGTGCAGGACAATTCTGTCTTCGACCCCAAGAATCCGAAGGCCCAAAGCTATTCAGCTTCGCCTTCACTGTCACTGTGATATGCGTTGGATATACATTGGATATGCATTGAATGGCTCCTTGCAGGAGACGTTTCACATCCGCCATACAGAGGTGCAGGGTTGACCACTTCAATCCTTAGGAGCAAAGGTCAGTTGAACCAACAGGCTTTGACAACGATTGACAATGTTGGAAAGATAAAATCTCAATGCATACTGACTTGCGAGCGCATTGTGAGTTCACAATCTCTACAACATGTGGTTCTGAGCAGGGGATGCGAAAGCGCTGCGCTGTGCCTCTCCGAACTCGGTGGATGGTTCGTAGTTCACAGGTGGGAAAGGAGTCTCAGGACGCAAATAGCCCAAATAGCCCACTTCGAGGATTCCAATCCATTTCGAGGATTCCAATGGATTCCAGGATTGCGTTTTTTTTGGGTAAAGTCGATACAGTCGAGCTGAGATTGCTGAGAGTTTGTTGATACACGTGGAAGGTAGCTGCTGTAGCTGCTTTTGTATTGTTGCAGATTCCAGATATGTGGTTTTCATGGTGATCAGTCGGACGTTGCACTATGTTGCACGTCTTACCTGTGTGATTCATTGTGATTCTAGAGGCCTACGGCTGGCTTCCTCCAATCGACGATCCAAAGCTTGGCTTTGGTCGTGGAAATCTGTACCATCGAGATGCTATGGTGCTTCTGGCTGGTTACATGACGTTACATGGGCATATGGGTTGGGGAGAATGACATGATCTCAGTTATCTCCAAGTTACCTCCAAGTTATCTCCAAGTCATCCAGTTATCCGTCCTTTCTTGTTGACCTCCAAAGGCACGACTCCAACTCTTGTATTTGAGGGTGTGAACATGTGTGAACGATGCAGAGCAGATGTTTTGCTGGTCATATTTACTGTAGTTTGTTGGCAGCTTCACATATTTTCCGTTAGTTCCATGATGTTCCATGCCCAGGGAAGGGTCCAACGAATAGCATTTTTCAATATTTTTCAGGGTCTCAACGGGCTCAACCTCCAAGCAATTCCTGTGACCCGGCAGGATTGCTCCCACATTATGGTGGGTGGCAACCGATCTTCAGCTCCTATCGCACCTGGCAGCTGATGCAGCTGATGACAATGGGTTTCACGCGACACCGTCAGTCTCAATGTTAGATGCAAGCAGCTGATTGCAGCTGATAGCAGCTGTTCTTTTTGTTGGAAGCTGACAGGAGGATTTCTATATTTTCAGTGGGCTTCATTCATGCACTTGACAAATGTTGGGTCTTAAAGTTTTTTTTTTTTAAAGACATATACCGTACCTTAAGACTTTAAGTTGCAAGTGTTGGGCAATGACTGCTTGCTGAGTCTCACCATGGTCAGAGTTTCGCTCAATTTGGCTGTGTCGATGGCATGTCTCAAGTGAACAGTGAACACTTTCACTGGATCAACCTTGGACCGGCAGTTAGATAATATAAACAGGGATATGTACACACACACACACGTACAGTAATATAATATAATATGATATGATATAATATGATATGATATAATATGATATAACACAATATAATATAACATAACAGAATATGATATGATATATAGTAACTTAGTATAGCATAATATGATATACCATAATAAAATACAGCACAATATAATTTAATATACTGTAATATGATACAATATAATACAAAATGATATAAAATTGAAAAATATCTCTATACATACTATCCAACTAAAAGAATGCTGGGTATCCAAGATTGGCCACGCTCAGTCTGGACATGGGGGATATCTGACCAGCTTTGCCACCAAGTGGCAGCTTCCAGAACTGGCTGCGGTGGATTTGTACAAACAGGATTGCCTGGGTTGGAGATTGTCTCACCTGGTGTTTTGCAAGAGAAAAAATCAAGCAGATGTTTGGAAGATGTTCATTCTTTTGCACACAGTACAGATCAGTGGGGTTGTGCCACAAAGAGTTTCACAATATCTATCGCCTGGTGGAAGGATACCTAAAGTCCCAAGTGAAACCTTGTCCCTTTGCTTTCGGTCTCAACAGCCTGATGCAGCCGCAGGGGCTTTCGTGATCCTCCAAAGCACAGCATCAACGGGCAGACTGACGCAGAGCGCATTGAGGTGGAGTTCAACTTGGACGAAAGTGATCCCAAGAAGCCCAAAGCTACAGAGGTGGTGATGGAAGGCACGGTTTGTCAGATTTTGAGCATTGGAAAAGACAAACATGAAAAACCAAAGCGGGATGAAACACAAGTTGTTTTTTTTTGTTTTTTTTGGCCAAGTCGGGTTTCCATTCCTAGCCTGTGAACACAGTGGTGTGCATATGGGTGTGGGACAATTGAGAATTTAGAACTGTTTACTTGGAAATCTTCCTCGTGCTCTAAGCAGCTTGACCTTGTGCTCAGCAAGATTGAATGCTTTCGCCTGGAGCTCATTTTCCAGTCCACATACCATGGGTGAATTCCTTAGCCGCCGCATGAACACATGACCAATGCCGCGAGGAAATACAACAAAAGGTTCCCTATCAAGTTACCAAAGTTCAAGTTGCCAAAGTATCTTATGCAAAAGGCTCACCACTCTTGAGAAGGAGCAGACCTGCTCTAAGACTATTGGCAAGACATATCTTTTTTCCAAGATCAAACCGTGATAGCCTGCATGGATGGATTCCAAGCACCGACCGACCGACACACACACACACAAGATCAAAAGGAGCGTTAGCTGCAGCATGTCCGATGAAGATCTCGGTCGAAGCGATGGAAAGGATAGTCCAGAACATGTGCCTGGGCGTGGCCACAGAACATGAAATGAAGTCTGTGCACTCGATGTCCACGTCATTTGCTATTTGTTTGGTTGTGGCAGCCAAGGAAGGGACCTATATGGATGCATGTATGTTCGTCATTGCGCGGAGCGTGTACAAGCACCGATGGGCTCTAGTGATTACTTGGGGAGTTTTGACTCTTTTCTTCACGCCACCAGCGCTTTATTTGGTACTCCGAAAGACAGCTGCTTGACTTTCATCTATACCAAAAACGAAAGGCGCTAGTTATCCAAGAGATTATTGCCGAGATATCTTGGTGGTCGGTGAGACTGTTGTCTCTAGAAGCCTGACTCAAAGATGACCTGTCGAGTCAAAGAGGTGCCAGTGCGGTGGTGCGGTATGCTGCAAAGTCTTAGTCAAGATGTGACATATCAAGTCTTAGTCATCTTAGTCAAGACGGCACGTTTGATGATTTGATCAACTCAAATCGCAAGTACAGCGGACCTCAGGGGACTCTTTGGCAAACCATGTGATGCTTTCCATGCTTTTCCTTTTTGCTCCATGGCCCAGGTTGGAATGGACAAGACTCCTCCTGCAGGAACCCAATCAGCAGCTGCCATGCATGTTCTTGACTCACAGTTCCGAAATGCATCAACCAAGAGAATGGAAATGGCAGGGGAGCCCAGGAGGCTTTGTGATCGCTCATCAACGGCTACCGCAATCAGCTACTGCAACTACTGAGCAGAATGATCATCTCCTGTGCGGTTCCAAGGTGGTGATGAAGTGCAAGATGTGGTGTCTAGATTTGGAGCACAACGAAGTGGCCCAGGTGTATGCATCGCAAATCAAAGATCGAGTTGTTCGATTTGGCATGGAACATCCTGGATCCCAGGTGCCTGAATGAGGGCTTGTTGGCTTTCTCTGGACTAGCCGTGGGAAGCCGAAAAAAGATGGATTCTTCACCTCTAGGAACAGTTATTGAACCAGGAAGCTGAATGAATGGCTAATTTCTGCTGTTTTACCTGAGCACTTGATTCCTGGCAAAGTTCGTGTTTGAGCTCCAGACCCCTGTTTTGTCACTGGGTACTGAGCTGGTGGTATGGCAAGGCCATTCACGTCATTTTCTCTGGATTTGCCAATTTATTGAATGTTTGGGCCCGGGCCCACAAAATTTCAATCTCCTGCCCAGTGGGGTCCGCATCCTTTGCCACTCATCATCCACATCCGTCATTTCTACATGTAGACCATTGGATTGGAGGTAGCGTGAAAGTGTGGCAGGTATCCTTCCAGTCTTACTTCGACTTTGTGGGACATCATCAGCTGCTGAACCCATTCATTTCCAAAGACAAGCAGAGCATCTTGTTGATGTGGACTTGGTCGATTCCAGTAGAGCTGAAGCAAAAGGCTGAAGACTTCGTCGTCGACTTGCGTGAATTTATCTTTTCCATTGATGAGTTTGCTGGAGAAGGTGCAATGGAAGTGAAGCTCACAGGAAACATCATTCTGGATCATGAGATGAAGGCAGAGAAGAGGTTTTGAAGGCTTTTGTAGTTTGTGCTTCTGTCCGGGTCACCCCTAGTCGGAAGTACTTGATTTTAAGGGCAGAGTTGATCTGCACACTGTCATGGTCTGGTTGTGCTCTTGTCGTGTCATGCTGTTTGGGCAGTCTGGACAATTTTGAACATTTTTTTCGCCGATCTTGACCTTTGATGATGTTTGATGATCTCTGTGCCTTTCCTGCATCTCGGTCCTGGCGGCCTGATGGCCTCATCAGGTCTCAATCTTCGACTTCACCGTGCATGAAGTGAAAACCGTCTGGCTTCCGATTCTCATTTTGGGATATGTACTGAGGAGCCCAAGGTTACTGCTATTGGCTTTGACTCCGATGTTGTTCGAAATTTTGGTGGGATTTGGCTTTCTATATTTTGTTTCCTTGACCGGCTTAAACATTAGCTACTACGCGCTCATGATCATGTTGATGCTGATCATGGCCCTATCCTGGGACTATGCCCTTTTTATGCTTACTCGCTACAAAGCAGAGCGCGAAGCTGGGGCAACAGTCGAGCAAGCGATCGTTGAAATGGTGGCCAAAAGCGGTAGCATTGTTGTCGTCTCAGGCGGGTCTGTTTCTTTGGGCAACTTGTTGGGAATGCTGCAGGAGTATCCGGTGCCTCGGTGCCTTGTTGCCTCTGGTTTTACAGAGTGGTTTCGAAAACTCTTGACTTGAACTTGAAATGACTCAGCTGCACCTGAAGGATGATTGCTCTGTGCCACCCCAATCATAAGAACAAACAGCAAAAATCAGCAAAACATGTTCATTTCCCAAAGCCTTTGAATTTCTCAGCCTTTGTTCAGACGTGAAGTCTGCGATTCTCAAATGGCCATGGATCAATGCGCAGGAGTCCCATTGTTACGAGGATGACCATTCATTTGCCAGCTATTTTGATGTTCACCAGGGTACCAGGGTTTTGACAATTTTTGACCCATCCCCACATAATCTTGAATTTGATGTGTATAAGTATATATATATTCATATATTCATAAAGACGTCTTTTGGCTGAGCTCTGCAGGCGTTGTGCTCTCTATCTGCTGGTCTGTGATGCTTGGCCTCCCAGACATGTTCAAGACCTTTGGGATAGCAGCAGCCTCTGCCATCATGGTTTGCGTGCCTGGTCCTAAGCGTATCCAGATCGTAAACTTGCCAGAGGAAATTTGCCCAGCATTGGACGTTTTTTCTACCACATGCAAATGGACTAAATGCATGAATAGAAATTGACCACTGATTCTTGAATTGGATTAGTACTGGATACGTTGCTCACCAAAAGCGAAGAATCAAAAAGCCGGCCATTCAACAAGACAGTAACTCCTCCGGACACGGATCAACCAACTTTGCTGAATTGTTTATTTTTCACACATATAAATATATATATACTTTATATATATACACTTTATATATATATATTTATCTCCAGATGGGCGTGTCCGAAAATGTGATATATAGTATGATGTAATATGATGTAATATGATGTAATATGATACCAGTAGTACCGCACAAGGCGGTGGCGGCAGTTTCAAAAATAGGAAACGTACCGCACAAGGCGGTGGCGGCAGTTTCAAAAATAGGAAACCTTATAGGAGAGATTGGCTGTTGTGAATCACGGATGGCAGAAGGGAATCCACTGATGGACCGAAAGGTGGTTGGAGTTGTATTTTTTGGAGTGGTTGCAATGGTCGCAGTGGTCACCTCACCACAACTGCTGGATGTAGTGTGGTGTAGTGCAGTTGTAGTTGCAGTTGTAGGCCCTTACTGTTAATCAGTATTGGCCGAGGGTTGCGGTGAACCCCAATTGCAGTTGTAGTGTAGCGCTGTGGAGGTGTAGCTGTAATGTGGTGTAATTAGTGTAGTGTAGTTGCAGTTGCTGTTGCAGTTGTAGTTGTGGTGTATTGTAATTAGTGTAGTGTAGTGTAGCGTAGTGCAGCGCAATGTAGTGGTAGTTGTAGTTGTAGTTGTGGCTGCAGTCGTAGTTGTAGCGCAGTGCAGATTAATTAGTATAGTGTAGTTTTGTGTAATGTAGTGTAGTTGTAGCTGTAGTTGTAGCTGTAGTGGTAGTAGTAGCAGTAGTAGTAGAAGAAGTAGCAGGAGTAGTAGAAGAAGTAGTTGTAGTTGTATTTGCAGTTGTAGTTGTAGTGTAATTAGTGTAGTGCAATGTAGCGTAGTATATTTGCATGTGTATTTGTAGTTGTAGTTTAGTGTAGTGGTAGTTGTAGTTGTAGTTGTAGTTGTAGTTGTCTATCTATCTATCTATCTATCTGTCTGTCTGTCTGTCTGTCTGTCTGTCTGTCTGTCTGTCTCTCTATCTATCTATCTATCTATCTATCTGCAGGCTTGAAAATGAAGCTATTCTGCGAGACTTCCTTAATCTTTCAAGTTGACAACATCAAAAACGAAGCAATTCTGCGAGACTTCCTCAAATTTTCAAGTTGACAACATCAAAAACGAAGCAATTCTGCGAGACCCTCAAATTTTCAAGTTGACAACATCAAAAACGAAGCAATTCGGCGAGACCTCCTGCAAAAATGGAAGTTGAGTGCAGATCTGACAACTTCGTACCAATGCGTTTTGCGATTTTTCCAGTCCATGTCTCTAAAGTATTGCGCCTGCCACGAAAAAGTGATGCCAGGTCATACGAAGTGCTGCACCTGTCACGCAAAATCATCCTAGCAAACCTAAAGATCTGATGCTCCAAAATGCAACACCTTTCAGGAAATCAGCGCCCTGACCTCCTAACATCTCTGATGAATATGTCTCTTGTACCGCGCCTGCCACGCGAAATGCATCTTTGCAGATCTTCTTGAAATGCCCCACGCCTGCCATCGTTTTTGGAAAACGCTCACGTTTTGCTCACTTTTGGCAAGGTGCGGAATCCCTTGCGCCTACCACGCAAACCCACATCTGAACCTTCAAGAGTGGTCCAAGCATGTGACCGTGTTTTTAACATTTTGACTTGGGCATGTGCTTCCGCTTCAACGGCGTGAAATGTTTCAACATTTCAACTTCCAAAAGTGCTCCGAACCTGGTGGGTGTTGTAGATTTTGACTTTGAAATGTGCTTCGCGCCACAATGCCGTGCACGTTTTCGACATCTCAACTTCCAAAAGTGGTCCGAACACAAGGTGCTTTGTACATGTTGACTTCAAAATCTTTTTCGTGCCGCAACGGTGTGCGCTTTTTCGACATCTCAACTTCAAAAAACTGCTCCGAACCTGGTGTGTTTTGCGCAATTTTGACTTCGTAATGTCCTTCGCGCCACAATGCCGTGCACGTTTTCGGCATCTCAACTTCCAGAAGCGGTCCGAACATAAGGTGTTTTGTACATTTTGACAACGCCGTGCACTTTTTCGACATCTCAACTTCCAAAAGTGCTCCGAACCTGGTGTGCGTTGTAGATTTTGACTTCGAAATGTGCTTTGCGCCACAACTCCGTGCACGTTTTCGACATCTCAACTGCCAAAAAATGGTCCGAACATAAGGCGTTTTGTACATTTTGACTTCGGCATGTGTTTCGCGCCACAATGGCGTGCAATTTTTCATATCTTATCTGGCCAGATGGCTCCGCACCCGCCGCTTTAGCGAGCCTACTTCTCGACCCTCCGGAGCCACAACCATTGGCTTTTCTACCTTTTCGCGCGCCTGCATCTTCTTTCCTCTGACTCTTTCTCTTCTCTGATCTTCTTTCTTTTTCTCTTCTCTTCTCTGATTCTTCCCACCTCTGCTTTTCCATCTGTCCATATTGTCGGAAGTTTGACTTCTAAACTTCTCTCGATAAAATGGTACACGTCAAGAAGACCAGGAGGGATGAGATTTGTAAACTGGCGCAGCTGCTAGCACCCGGTGGAAGGTTCCTGCCACTATCCAAGGAACTGGTGGAAGCCGCGGCGGCAGCGCTGAAAGCGGCGGGCCTAGCATCAGCAGACCAGTACTTGAACGAGCTGAAGCTGATGCACATCGAAGCTGGGTTCCCGTTGGAGCCGTGGTTAGCTCGCACTATAACCCTCTGCAAGAAATCCATGGCTCGAGAGAGAGGGCCGGTGAAGAGAGCTCCAGAAATGGTGCTCGACAACATCAGTGATGAACTTTGGAATTGGCATGGACATGTTGCAGTACCAGGAGCTGTATGGGCATACGCATGGGGAGTGTGCTGGATGCTTAGAGAGATCGAACTCTCCAAGGTATGCTGGAGTCATGTCACCTGGAATCAACTGAGGAAGACAGTACGACTCTTCATAGCGCACTCCAAGATGGATCAGCAAGGACTGGGGATTGCCAGGACCTTGCAATGCTGTGGAGAGAGCCCGTGCTGGAAAGGATGCGCCTGGTTCTTGTTGCAGAACATGCTGAAGATGCGAGACCGAAGGGCCCTATCTCCGGAAGAACACATGTTCCCCAACTTCAAAGGGAAAAGCCTTCCAAGTCCGAGATGGTGACGTCCTGGAGGAGTCTCTTCGAAGCCAGCATAGCAGGCCATTCGGCCAGAAGATCCGGACCCATGGCCTATGTCAGAAAAGGCATGGGCATACGCGACTTAGCGTATCTGGGGAGGTGGAAATCTTCAGTGGTGCTGACCTCCGCGGAAGAGGCTTTAGAGACAACCCCAGCCAACAGGGGCGTTCAGTTCCAGGAGGAGACCTCAGTAGCAGCACCAAAAACGCCTAGCCGCATCTTGGTGGAAGCCGTCGTGAAGAAGGCGGCTGAACCCGGTCCTAGTCTTGCTGCAGGCGCTCACCTGGGAAACAGAACAAAAGCGGCATCACTGTGGGTCAAGTCCACGGAGAGAAGATCCGGAAACCCGCTGCATTATGTAACAATTGCAGACTGGAGCCTGGCCATGTCCTCATGGTCCACGCGGCTGGACGTTCGCAAAGAAATCAGCACAGATTGCATTTGTGACCAACCCGGCCATGAACCTCCTGAAGTGCAAGGAATGCCTGGCGATGAAGAATCTGCGCGACAGTGTCAATAAGGGTGTTGATGCTGCGCAGATGGTCGCTGGTGACATGGACCAGTTGACCAGATCAAAAGATGGAGGTGGCAGGACCAAGCCACAAAACCGCCCCTTGAAAAAGAAAAGGGTGGAGGGTGGGTCTGGCTGCGCAGTGAAGTGTCTTAGAAGTTTGTGAAACAAACTGATAGACAAACGAAACGTTGCAGTTGGGTTGGAGGGTGGGATCTGAATGTGCCTGCAGAATGGCTCCAAAAGGCACAGATCCCCCTCCTTGTCTCTGGGATTTAAAGTCCCACCCACCCACACCTGTATATCATTAATTGGTACAAGGATGTTGATGCTGCGCAGATGGTCACTGGTGACATGGACCAGTTGACCAGATCAAAAGATGGAAGTGGCTGGACCAAGCCACAAAACCGCCCTTTGAAAAAGAAAAGGGTGGAGGGTGGGTCTGGCTGCGCAGTGAAGTGTCAATATAATAAAATCTAATATAAAGATATAATAGTAATAGCATTCTACACTATATGATGTTTTAATCTATTAATACTAAATTATTTTGTAATCTTTTATATTGTCAATATTTTTATTTTCTGCTTTTGTAAAATTTATTTTGAACTTCATATTCTATTTTACTTTTTTTGTAATTTTCATACAACATTATCTTATTGCCTCTCATGTTTTTCATTAAATTACGGTATGTTATATTATATTATGCAGTAACCTTTATTTTTTATAATATAAAACATGATACTATGTATTATAGTATTCAGTTATTTCTTTTCATATTTTATTCTTTGTAATGATATGATATTTTATTTTTTTGAGATTATTATATACTATTAATTTTTATTAGATATTATATTATATAACATAACATAATATAATATTATATTATATCTTATTTTATTACATTTTGTTGTATTATATTCTAGCCTGTGAAATTATATTATATTATATTATATTATATTATGGTATATTATATTATACTATATTATATTATATTACATGATTCTATATTATCTTTTTCTATTATATTATATTAAAATTTTCTATTATACTATATCATATTATATATTTTATTTTACTCTAGCATACTATATTTTATTTTATTCTATTGTATTACATTATATTATATTATGTAAACTTATATTATAGTATATTATATTATATCATATTATATTATCTCATCTCTTATTCTCTTATCTTATATTATAGTATATTATATTATATTATATTATATCATATTATATTATACCATATTACATTTTCTTATCTTTTTCATATTATATTGCATTATACAATATTATATATTTTTTTTTATAATACCATATTATATTTTATTTTACTATATTGTATTATATTACTTCATATTTTTTATATTACATAATGTTTATTCATTCGATTCTTTGATATTTTACTTTTTTACTTAAATATAATAATTTCAAATTAGAGTACAATATACAATATAATGGTAACGTATTAAACAATATTGATGTTCAGAGCGAGCCTCGAACGGATAAAAGGTATACTTTGATTTAATGTACACCTTGGATTAATAAACCCTGGCGGCCCTGGCATGTTTCTATTGAAACGAGTCGGATTAATACACCCAAATACTGATGTCAGCTGCCAACTCGGTACCCATTGATCAAGAGCTGGTTCTCAGGTTTTCGCTCAGCTGACGTTTGTGGCGCCGGTGTTGGCGATCTTCCCATGGCTGGGGCCGGAGGCTGGGGATCCCATGGAGGTAGAGCCGCTGAGCCCCACAGGCAGTGGGGGGTGGGGACGAGATCTTGGGGGATGGGGAAGTTCCCAACTTGACAGATTTATTTTTTTTGTGGGGAAGGTATGAGTTTGATGGCAGCCAAATTTTTTGGAATTTTATTTTGGGGTTGATTTTGGAGGGGGGGAACCCGCCATGATTCAAATCAGTGGGGACTAGAATTGGAAGGAGGCCAACAACAAAGAAAATCAGGCCACGGCCCCCGCAAAGTTGCAGAAGTGACATTTTGTGCCTTTGACTTGTGTTTTTCTTCCCGATGATACATCGCAATTGCAGGGGAGGCAATGAGGAAAGTGGAGCAGTTCCGACACGGGATTTACTATCAGATTGGGAACATCTTGACGGCGTTTCCTTTCAATGCCATTGCCTTCAGCACCATCTATTTGCTCATGTTGCCATTGACTGCAAGATTCCTGCAAAACTTTGATGTGGCAAACTTTCAGCGGCTCAACTGACCTGGGTGGTGTTTGCAGCATGGCTGGGATCATTCAATGATATCATACTGTAAATTGTAAACGGTTTGTAACTGGCTCGGAGCTGTTCAACTTTTACAGATCAACCCGCTGGGATTGCAGGGTCCCGAGCAGAACTCGCGCTGACAGGTTTACGGAAATGGGGCACAGCTTCGAGATGACAATGCCGCGAGGATCCAGAGCCTTCAATACCTCTCTGGAAATCGTTCAGGACGCGGGGTATCAGACCTAGATGATTCAGATTCCGCATGTGACACACAGTGGCAAACTGACACAGAAGGTATGTGCAACTTCTTGCCCTGCAAGGACTTTGACTTTGACTTGACCCTTATGTCTCCAGCCTGTTAGCGAAGGATTTTCTAATTTTTTTCACGAAAGCTAGCTTCTGCAAGCTGAAGTCCCTCTTGCTTTGGCAAGGCATGGGGGGCTGGAACCTCCAATCGCGAGAAACTTCTCAATTAACTACCCCGCCCCCTTCGCCCCCTCCCCCCGTTCACATGCAGTTTGGCCGCGGGTTCAAAACCCCCTGGGGTCACCATCAGCAACATCGGCAGCATCGGCGTCCTCTGCATCTTTACACTGAACGATTTACACTTGGAACTCTGCACTCTATACTTTGCAATTTGCAGTCCCCGCTATATACTTTACACTCCGCACTCTGCACTCTAAACTTTACACTCCACACTTTACACCCCGCACTCCACGCTCCTACACTCTACACTTCACACTTTACACTTGGCACTCCACACTCTAATTGTACACTTGACACTCCACACTTTACACTCCGCACTCTGCACTCTACATTTTACACTTGACACTCCACACTCTCCACTCCACACTCCACACTCTGCACTCCACACTCTACACTTTACACTTCACCCTTTGCACCTTACACTTTTCGCACTTTTCACACTTTTCTCACATTTTTCACACTTTTCAAACTTTTCGCACTTTTTACACTTTTCACACTTTACACTTGACGCTCCACACTCCACACTCTACACATGACACTCTACACTTTACACTTGACACTCTGCACCATACACTTTACACTTTACACTCCGCCCTTGGCACCTTACACTTCTCACACTTTTCACACTTTTCACATTTTGCACACTTTTCACACTTTACACTTGACGCTCCACACCCTACACTTCACACTACATATTTTACACTTCACGCTTTAAACTCGACACTCCGCACTCTGCACTTTACTCACCCAGCGCTCTACACTTTACATTCCAAACTCTACGCTCTACACTCTACAGAGTACACTCTACACTTGACACTGCGCACTCTACACTCTACACTCCGCACTCTACACTTTACACTTGTCACTCCGCACGCTACACTTTACACTTCACACTTGGCGCTTGAAACCCCGCACTCTACACTTCACACTCCACACTCGGAACTTTACCCTTGACACTGAACACTGACTCTACGCTCCACCCTCTACACTCCACACTTTACACTCCACACTCTACACTTGGCACCCCGCACCCCACGCTCTACACTCTACACTTTACACCTCACGCTGTACACTTTACACTGTACACTGTACGGCCCACACTCTACACTGTACAGTCCACACTCGACATTTTACACTTGCACACTTTACACTGTCACACTCTACACTTCGCTTTGCACTTCACTTTGCGCCCTCACAACTTTACACTTTTCACACTTTCCACTGTATGGAACCTTGGCCTAGCTTCATTTCCATGTTGCGCCCGCGCACCTACCTCTCGTCCTCAACTTCGGTTTTGCTCTGTGTTGCTTCTTCCCGCGCTTCCAAAGGTCCACTCCGAGGCCGAAGGTGGACCTTTGAATCTTCCCCAGTCACTAGTCATCATGTTGGCTTCGCTGAATTTCCTCACCCTCTTCGTGCAACTGCACATCGTAACCATGTGTTTCTCACCCTCGTCCCCTCTAACACCCCCTTCCCCCGGCTGGTTCACAAGCAGTTTAGCCGTGGGCTCAGCCCCCCCTTCCCCCCGGGGGCACCATCAGCAACATCGGCAGCATCGGCATTCTCTGCATCTTTACACTTCACGATTTACGCTTGGCAAACCACACACACACACACTCTACACTTTGCACTTTACACTCCCCACTCTATACTTTGCACTCCACGCTCTACACTCTAAACTTTACACTCCGCACTTTACACCCACACTCCACGCTCTACACTTCACCTACACTTCACACTTTAAATTTGGCACACCGCACTCTAATTTTACACTTGACACTCCGCACTCTACATTTTACCTTGGCACTCCACACTCTACACTCCACACTCTACACTTTACACTCCACAATCCACACTCTACACTTTACACTCCGCACGCTACACTGTACACTTTAGACTCCGCACTCTACACTTTACACTCCATCCTTTGCACCTTACACTTCTTCACACTTTTTTACACTACACTTTACACTTGACACTTGACACTGCACAGTTTACAATTTACACTTCACGCTTTAACGCTCCGCACTCTACACTTTACACTTCACACTCTAGACTTTAGAATTTGCACTTTGCACTTTACACTCTGCACTCTACAATCCACACTTTGCACTTTACACTTCACACTTTTCTCTTGACAACCCACACTCTACACTCTACACTGTACACTTTACACTCTACACTTTACACTCCGCACTCTACACTCTAGACATGACACTCTACACTTTACACTTGACACTGCGCACTCTACACTTTACACTCTGCACTTTACACTTCACGCATTGCACTTTACACTACACACTCCACACTCCACACTTGACACTCCACACTTTACACTTTAGACGCCACACTCGACACTCTATACTTTACACTTGACACTTCGCACTCTTCACTTTACTTTTTACACTTTACAGCCCAGCTCTACCCTTTACACCCCAAACTCTACGCTCTACACATTACACCCTACACCTGGCATTGCGCACTCTACACAATACACTCCACACTCTACACTGCACACTTTACACTTGACACTCCAAACTCTACACTTCACACTTGATACTTGACACTCCACACTCTACACTTTGCACTCCGCACTCCACAGCCTGAACTTTACACTTGACACTCTGCACTTTACACTCCGCACTCTGCACTTTACACTCCACACTCTACACTTGACACCCCACACCCCGCACTCTACACTCTACGCATGACACTCTACACTTTACACTTGACACTCCGCACTCTACACTTTACACTTTACACTCCGCCCTTGGCACATTACACTTGTCACACTTGTCACACTCTTCACACTTTACACTTGACGCTCCACACCCTACACTTCACACTACATATTTTACATTTCACGCTTTAAACTCGACACTCCGCACTCTGCACTTTACTCACCCAGCGCTCTACACTTTACATTCCAAACTCTACACTCTACACTTGACACTGCGCACTCTACACTCTACACTCCGCACTCTACACTTTACACTTGTCACTCCGCACGCTACATTTTACGCCTCACACTTGGCACTTGAAACCCCGCACTCTAGACTTCACACTCCACACTCGGAACTTTACCCTTGACACTGAACACTGACTTTACGCTCCACCCTCTACACTCCACACTTTACACTCCACACTCTACACTTGGCACCCCACACCCCACGCTCTACACTCTACACTTTACGCCTCACGCTGTACACTTTACACGGTACACTGTACGGCCCACACTCTACACTGTACAGTCCACACACTACATTTTACACTTGCACACTTTACACTGTCACACTCTACACTTCGCTTTGCACTTCACTTTACGCCCTCACAGCTTGACACTTTTCACACTTTCCACTGTATGGAACCTTGGCCTAGCTTCATTTCCATGTTGCGCCCGCGCACCTACCTCTCGTCCTCAACTTCGGTTTTGCTCTGGGTTGCTTCTTCCCGCGCTTCCAAAAGTCCACTCCGAGGCCGAAGGTGGACCTTTGAATCTTCCCCAATCACTAGTCATCATGTTGGCTTCGCTGAATTTCCTCATCCTCTTCGTGCAACTGTACATCGTAATCATGTGTTCTCACCCTCGTCCCCCCTAACACTCCCTTCCCCCCGCTGGTTCACAAGCAGTTTAGCCGTGGGCTCAGCCCTCCCCTTCCCCCCGGGGGCACCATCAGCAACATCGGCAGCATCGGCATTCTCTGCATCTTTACACTTCACGATTTACGCTTGGCAAACCACACACACACACACACTCTACACTTTGCACTTTACACTCCCCACTCTATACTTTGCACTCCACGCTCTACACTCTAAACTTTACACTCCGCACTTTACACCCACACTCCACGCTCTACACTTCACACTTTAAAACTGGCACACCGCACTCTAATTTTACACTTGACACTCCGCACTCTACATTTTACCTTGGCACTCCACACTCTACACTCCACACTCTACACTTTACACTCCACAATCCACACTCTACACTTTACACTTCGCACGCTACACTGTACACTTTAGACTCCGCACTCTACACTTTACACTCCATCCTTTGCACCTTACACTTTTTCACACTTTTTACACTACGCTTTACACTTGACACTTGACACTGCACAGTTTACAATTTACACTTCACGCTTTAACGCTCCGCACTCTACACTTTACACTTCACACTCTAGACTTTAGAGTTTGCACTTTGCACTTTACACTCTGCACTCTACAATCCACACTTTGCACTTTACACTTCACACTTTTCTCTTGACAACCCACACTCTACACTCTACACTGTACACTTTACACTCTACACTTTACACTCCGCACTCTACACTCTACACATGACACTCTACACTTTACACTTGACACTGCGCACTCTACACTTTACACTCTGCACTTTACACTTCACGCATTGCACTTTACACCACACACTCCACACTCCACACTCTACACTTGACACTCCACACTTTACACTTTACACTCCACACTCGAAACTCTATACTTTACACTTGACACTTTACACCCCAGCTCTACACTTTACACCCCAAACTCTACGCTCTACACATTACACTCTACACCTGACACTGCGCACTCTACACAATACACTCCACACTCTACACTGCACACTTTACACTTGACACTCCAAACTCTACACTTCACACTTGATACTTGACACTCCACACTCTACACTTTGCACTCCACACTCCACAGCCTGAACTTTACACTTGACACTCTGCACTTTACACTCCGCACTCTGCACTTTACACTCCACACTCTACACTTGACACCCCACACCCCGCGCTCTACACTCTACACTTTACACTTCCCACTGTAGAGTTTACACTTCACACTGTACAGTTTGCACTTCACACTGTACACTGTACGCTCCACGCTCTACACTTTACAGTCCACACTCTACACTTTCTACTTTACACTTTCACACTTTACGCCTCACACTTCACTTTACACCCTCGCAACTTTACACTTTTCACACTTTACACTGTATGGAACCTTGGCCTAGCTTCATTTTCATGTTGCGCCCCCACACCTACCTCTCGTCCTCACCTTCGGTTTTGCACTGTGTTGCTTCTTCTGGTGCTTCCAAAGGTCCACTCCGATGCCGAAGGTGGACCTTGGAACCTTCCCCAATCAATCACTGGTCATCCTGTTGGCTTTGCTGAATTTCCTCCTCCTCTTTGTGCAGCTGTGCGTGATAATCATATGTTTTCATCCTCGTCCCTTCCAACATACATCGCCTCAATACGTACGTTTGGACGTTCACCTTACCGACGTGCCCCAGCTTCAGACCCGCTCGTCCACGTTGACGAAAAAGCTGCACAGCTGCGCTGTGCCCTTTGTGTTTTCATGCCAAGCTACCTGCCAAGCTCGCTGCCAAGCTAGCTTTCGTCCCTTACCCGTGGGCCTCAAATTAGGCGGGGTTTCATTCGCAGCCCGGGCGTGCACAAATGGAGAAACCATGGGCCGAGGCCTGTTCTAATTTTTGCAACCAACGCGGTGGATGACTACTCCCAGAGTGCGGGTACAGTTTCTGCGCCGCTGGTGAATGAAAATTTGTTTCGATTGAACTGCGAGATGATTCGCGGGCTGATTTTCGAGACGGAGGGAAGTCCCTACGAACTTGGAGCCAAGAGTTTCCAGTCACCTAGTGTGCCAATTGACAAGAGCTACATTCATTCCGAGTTAGCCTTTGCCAAAAAAGTTTTTAAAGAAGTGTTCGGACAGCTGGTTTGCCCGAGTTTGCAAGAGATGAACTTGATTCGCAAGAGCTTCTTTGCCCGGAATGTTTTCTTGACCCAGACTTCTGAGCATTTGGATCTCATGTGGCAGGCAGGGAATTGGCTGAAAATACAAACGAGCAAAAGCATAGCCTGAAAGTGCTGTGTCTCAACAAATAGTTCTGGAAAAGCAAAACGCACTTCTGTTATCCGTTTGCATCATGTTTGTTGGTAATGAGTGTGAGGGAGGTCACAAGGACATCAGGTGGTCTCTTTTCCGATCGTTTCCGATCCTTTGCCTTTTGTTTTCTCCAGGAGATGGTCCGCAAGAACGCCATGCTGACCGTGGTGAATCCTGCCATCGACCCCTTGGGACCGCAGGCCTTTGAGTTGGAAAAGCGGATCCAGGATGTGCTGCGGGAGATGGAAAGCCGTGGCCAGACCACCATCCCTCGCTTGAGGCGGGGCAAGCAATAGGCATTCGCATGAAAATGGCGGGAAAATGGAAAGAAACCTACCATGCAATTGACCTTTGCGATGGTTCCAGAACCCTCCAAAGATCAAGTCCTGCTTTAGCACAACATGTTGACCTAGGTTGACTTGTGTTGACCTATCTTGACCTTGGGCCTATTCAACCGTAGAACCAACTGTGGGAGCCGAGGGTTGTCATGCGAATCTGTGCGACTTTGGAGGTACCTTACTTTCTCCCCAGCAACGGTAGTCACAGATCTTATCTCTGTGACTTGGCTGGAAGCTAAAACCCCACTGCCGCGCTGTCCTATGTCCTTGGTTTAAGGTGACTTCTTCAGCTTTACCTACATGTTTTCTGATTTGTGTTGCTTGGCTGTAAGCTGAATCTTGGGAGAGATTTGATTTTGTGGCATTGTGCGCAACTTCATAGATTTTCTTGAACCATGCCTACGGATATATTTTTGTAACCAGCGCAACTTATTTCTATTTCACAAGCGTTCTGGCCACCGCTCATTTCAACATCTTGAATTTTCTTCCAGTACTAAGACGAAACTGTGTGGGACCAAATTTAGGCTCATGCAAGGGAAGCATCAGCACTGGGTGGTGGAAGTAGTTAAACAAAGCACCGAACCGTCAAACCAGCGAACAGGAACTCAGCCTGAACAACACTGAGAATGGAACACTTTGACGCGACGCAAAACGGTTGGATGATGATATGACATTGAGATAACCCTGAGTCGGTGGCAAATTTGCTGAACTGAAACAATGATGCACAATGTCGAATGCTGAGGTTTTAATTTGTTTTTCTTTGATCGCTTTATGGTTCAATGCCATGCTCGTTCCCTTCAAGCTCTTTATCACAGTGGTCGTTCCGGTGACATGGACTTACGGAGCTGCCTTCTATGTCTATGAGGATGGCGCCCTAAGCTGGTTAGGAATTCCAGGCCCCGGCTTTCCCCGCCGGCTGTGGCTGAAGGCTGCGGCTTTGGCTGGATCAACCTGTGGATCTCAGTAGATCTTGCTTCAGGCTGTAATCTGTACTTCGATATCTTCGATTTACTCTTGGAATTCTCCCGTGGCTGTTTTTGGGTTCAGGCCAGGTGATTTGTACCCTTTAATGATTTCCCAATGCATTCAGAATTTAAGGATTTGGATGCGCCAATTTCCTTTGATATTTGTGATTCAGATCTCTATAAACATGAAAAAATGCACCAAGCTTGGGCAGTTGGGTGCAGTTGGCAGGCCTTTCGCCTACAAAGAGCGATGGCTTGGTGCTGGACTCAGGGCGTCGCTGTGTTCTGATTTAAGTTTGATCGAAGTGAATCGAAGTGGGTCACTGGTCTCAGGATTGGACGGTTCCTGTCTTCAGTTTGACGTTTTTGATTGGTCTGGCGCTGGACTATGACTTCTTTCTGTTTGAGCGAGTCTTCGAGTTCAGACTGGAGGAGAAAAACTTGCAAAACTGCCGGGGACGGGTTTTATGACGCTTGTGTCGACAAACCATAGGTGCAAACTGGGGAGTATTGCAGCTAAACAGCTGGAGCGTTATTACAAAACCTCCTCACAGCTTGTTTAGCATTTCAGAAGCTGCTACCTTTTACCTTCACCCGAAACCTTCCCTGATAAAACCTCCATTTTGCATGCTGCCTGGTGTTTCCAGGGCTTTGGAGACCGAGAAGCAATACAGTTGGGTCTTTCTGCAACGGGTGGCACCATCTCTGCAGCTGGACTTATCCTTGGCCTCACCTTCTTGGCCTTGGTGCTGACCTCTGCCTCTCAGCAGCAGAAAGCTCGACCGCCCAGCCTGTTTTTGGTAGTTAAACATTGTTAAACCATGTTGGGCAAACTAAACCAACCCATTGTTGAGATATTTTTTTGATTGGTTTGGTGGTCATCCGAGTCATCTGATTTTTGTGACATTTCTTAGAGTGCTCAGCAAATTGCTCCAGACCCGTATGGGCATAGGAACCTAGCCTAGATTGGTGTTTGTGGTATTGAACGTGTAGATGGGGATGTTGCTTGTTGAGTTTGCAAGCATTGGCCGCTAGACACCAGACATTGTAGCTAAGTAAGTTTTCAAGTTTCTCCGATCAGCCTTGACCTGGTAGTGCTTATCTAAACTTACTGGATTTGGTGATTTGGTTGTTCAGTCTCCAGCAGTCGTTCCACAGGAGCTCCCCATGATGAATCAGCAGGGCTTCGTCTTCGTCTTTAGCATCATAGTGGAGCCTCGATTACGCAATTCCTAATTCTTTTGCTGGTCCAGTGATATTTTTGAACCTTTTCTGGGCATGCCAGCAGTACCGATATTTAAGATGGCAACAAGTGCTTTACAGTAAACCGTAGAAAGGGTGACCATGTCAGTACGATGTCACAAGCAGCTTGAAACCGTGAATGACGTGTCCTGTGACAAACAATTGCAATGTATTGAAAAACCCAAAGGAATGAATGATCGACAGAGTACTCCAAGAGAAGGGAGTTGTACGTACGTCAAATCGACGAGCCGCTGCCCTGCTGCCCTGCTGCTGCCCTGCTGCTGCCCTGCTGCCCTGCTGCTCTGTATTGTGAACAGCGAACGAATCACAGAGATCGAAGGTGTGGCCAACTCATCGTCCAAGTCTTCCAACTGTTCTTTTGGCCAGTGCCAGTGCCATCTGCCATCTTGGGAATTTGGGACATCCCATCAACCCATTTTGGATGATGGGTTTGTCTGAAACTTGGGTGCCCCTAAAAGTTGATGGTCAATCATCATTTTCCTATTGAGATGGCCATAGATTGGGGGTCAAAAACAATATTGGGGGGTATATCGTTTTCCAGACAGACCCAAGGATCATCTTGAGCAAATTATTTTAGTTACATTAGATATCTTCATTGTATCCCCAGTCTATCCCCATGAAACATGATTATTATTATTATATATTGTCAATATATGGTAATTTGTTGTGTGTTTCCAAAATATTGTAACAGTCAGTAAAAGGGTTCCTTACTAAACACCCCCCAAAAAGGAGCACCATAAAATCAAGTTTTTTTTCTTCAAGGATTGTTGGGCCTGGGGGCATGTTCAATTTTTTTGCTTAAGGATTATTTCAAAGTGGGACCATGGTTCAAAAATTGGGAAACAAAGCCCGTCCATTCTGCTCAATGTAGACATGTGGCGGTTTGCACACATCAGATCAGGAGAAAGAGGGCATAGCAATCACTTCTCAAAACCATTTGGCATTAGGAATCACAACCATACCAAGTATCAAACATGAATCATACACTATCCTAACTTCCCATCAAACTTCATCTACTAGTTTGCCAGGTTTGCTGCTGTGCTGGAGCAAGAATTATATTGCGTTTTTTTTTTCGCGGTTTGTCGTGCACCAAATCGTTCTCCAATGCGTGTTTTTTTCGCAGTTTGTCGTGCACCAAATCGTGTTCTACTTTGTGGTTCCTGGGCTGGTGTGTCTTTTGGGAAATTGTTGCTGGTGGTTTCTCTGCAATGTTTGCAATCTTCAATCTTTCATGAAGATATTGACTATAGGTAGTGGTACTGACAAAACTTGAGGATTGCTACTCGTATTTTGAATTGATTTCTTCGTGCACCAAATGGTGCTCAAAAGTGTGCTTTTCCTAATATAAGTTTAAATAGAAGAAGTTTTAGAGCATCATATTTTCCTTTCAGAAATAAACTGCTTCAAGCACATGTGAAATCAATCGACACCGGATGTCCAGTAAATTGTCTCCTCTGTCGTGCACCAAATGGTGCTCCAATGCGTTCTTTTACTCGTGATTTATCGTGCGCCAAATCGTGCTGTATGGTCTCAATTATGTTAAAAGTCCGTGCTCTTGTTATTATTTTATTCGTGCTCTCAAAATGAAAAAAGTGCAGTAGAACCAAAAACTGGCGGTTTTGTATTGTTTTCCTCTTCGGAGCCTAGGCCAGGATCTGGCCGGAGCTAAGCCAGCCTCCAAAACCTAGAAGAATATTGACTACTGAATACTAAATATATTGAATATTAATAACTGTATTTAATTCTAGATCCAATCACAAAGCATATCATATTGGCACATGGGAGATTTATATACTTGATTTGGGTTATTCTTATCGTCGTGCTCCAAATGGTGCCCCATTTTGTGCCACTGTTACAATATTTAGGCCATACACAAGTAATTTGTAATGACTGTGAGAACTCCCCATTCTGTTGCGGACTCAGCTGCTGAGGACACCTTTTTGGTGCGTACCTTGGTGGTGCCTGCAATGCTCTCGATGTCCCCATGGCTGAACTATTGGCCAAGGCCATTGTAGTGTCATTTGTTTGGTCAAATTGGTTAAGAACGACCACAAAAAAGGGGTTGAACATGGTTGAACCATGAGTCATTGAGATTTGAATGGATTTAACTAAATCTGTGTTGCTTAGAGTCTAAGGCTTAGAGTGCGGTTTTTAGGCACCATTTGCAGAAGCCAAGTCTGAAGTATGCTAAAGGCTAAAGGCTCAGTTGGAATTAGAGTTGATGCTGGATATGTGTACTCCTGGTATTGTATTTCAGGGTCGGCACACCTGTGGCCGCACGTCAGGGAAATGCCAGAGCCGCTGTATGAGTGGTTAGAGGAGGAAACCGGTTTGCGGTCAAAGTTGCGCTTGTCCAGTGTGGCGAGCATAGACTCCGATTAGTTCAGCAAAGATCTGAAAGTGGAAGCCGTTTCACCATCATCGATTCAAAGAAGAGCGGTGTTCGTCTACAGGATTTCGAACACAAATTGGTCTTGTTGGCCTTGTCCCACTTGTCCCACTTATCACTTATGGATTGGTTGTTTCACCCCACGTGGCGTTGTTCCTTCCACGAGTTCAGGCCGCCGGATGCGGAGAGTGGTCGAAGAACGTGCGGAAGACGAGCGGAAGGCGCTCCGCTTGGTGGAGGCGAGGTCGTTTGGGCTTCACCCAAAATGGATAAAATGGGGAGTCGAAACGAACTTGGCTCGAACTCATGGCCAAAATCTCTGCTGAGCCCAGGCAGCTGTGTCAACTCCAAGTGAGCGTGAGGCGATTTTCGGATATTTTCGGGAGATCTCCATGTGGCACCTAAAGGTTGAGGGATCAAAAAGCCACCTGTGACTAGAAACGAAGCGGTGAATATACCTGAAACATCACCTGTTGATGTTTGTGGATCATGGACTGGCGTTGACCATCGACAGGCCAGCCGAACTTGGAGCAGCAGAAGGGAGGCCAATCGCCCAGAAGCCACTGGATGTTGCTGGCATCATGTTCAGGGCACCTGGCAGTTTTAAAAGTTCATTGTGCAGGGAGCGGATTTGCCGCCACTACGTCGTGGTCAACGGCCAAAACCCGCTCTCGAACCTTTACAGGATAGGTTCGCTCGTCTTGTACAGGACAGGCTACCTGGGTGGTGCGGGGAGCAGTTTCCGCAAAATCAATGCACTGCAGTTGACACGACAAAAAAGAATAGACTCATCTTCTACACGTCACTAAACACGATATTATTTTATAATTTGGAATGTGTACTCAACAGAACATGGAAAGGAAATGCAGGTGGGTGTAAAGCCAAGATTCTTTCCTGTTGCAGCATTCTCTGAAGTGCTGGGGAGGACCTGGGACCTCCTACTGGAATTTCCCGCATGTTTAGCAGCTAGTGGCAGCATTCCATGCACCCTGAAAGAACCTATGTCCAGCAAGTTGCTTTTCATTGCTGCACACGTCCGGCAAACAAACACGGCGTGCAGAAATTTTCTCCGCATGTACGGATGACTTTCTCCGTTGCACAAATTGAACATGGAAAATTGGAGGTTTCCCACTGCCATAGATAGCCATGTTTCCTCGTGAGGGTTTGACGGATTAGTTGCCCATTGCTCACAGCAACACATCGCCTTGTTGGATCTGAGTCTCTGAGTTCCAAAGTTCATTAGGTGTGTCTGAAATAGTAACCCCAATTCAAAAAGATTCTCACCATAAAATGAGGTAAATCCTCTGTTCTGAGGCAAACCCAAACCAAAGTTGGTTAGAGAAGTATCCCTATCAAGATCCGGAAACCATTGACATTTGCACCTGTGTGCCAGGCAGTGCACCCTCGAGGCCGCACCTAGACCACAAGGAGCCTGGGCATCGACATGGCTTGGCTCCAACACCACCGCGTGAGCCACGTGGGAGAGCCCAGGCAGCACGTTTCAAGTTAAGCTCCAGTCCAGCGAGAAGAGCCCACAGTTAGCATGAGTCCATTGGCAAGTGGTCAACTTAGCAAGTGGATATACCGGTACTCTCGGTGCGGGTATTGGTATCGCCAATCACGTGAAGCTTCACAGGTAGCTACCCGCACCCACCCCCGCTGGCGGTGTTGGAAACAGTTTTGGTGGATCGCCGCCATCAGCACCAGCACCAGCATCAGCATCAGCATCAGCATCAGCATCAGCATCAGCATCCGCATCCGCATCGTCATCGTCATCGTCATCGTCTTGTCATTTTCATCTTCATCTTCATCTTCATCATCATCATCATCATCATCATCATCATCATCATCATCATCATCCTCATCCTCATCCTCATCGTCATCGTCATCGTCATCGTCATCATCATCATCATCATCATCATCATCATCATCATCATCTCATCATCATCATCATCATCCTCATCATCATCATCATCATCATCATCATCATCATCCTCATCGTCATCATCATCATCATCGTCATCATCATCATCATCATCATCCTCATCGTCATCGTCATCATCATCATCATCATCATCATCATCATCATCATCGTCATCGTCATCGTCATCGTCATCGTCATCGTCATCGTCATCGTTATCGTCATCGTCATCGTCATCGTCATCGTCGTCATCATCACCATCATCATCATCATCATCAAAAAATCATAATCATAATCGTCATCGTCATCGTCATCGCCATCCTCGTCGTCTTCATCTTCACCCTCATCTCCATCTTCATCTTCATGTCCATTTCCATTTTCATCTTCATCTTCATCTTCATGATCATGATCATGATCATGACCATCATGATGATGATGAAGAAGAAGAAGAAGATGTTGCTGATGATGATGATGATGATGGTGATGATCATCATCATCATCATCGGCATTTTCACCGCCACCATCATCATAATCACCGCAGCAGCTTCAGTAGCTTGTGTTAATTGTTGTCATCTTTGATGGATGCATTTCTTGGTGATACGAGTCATCTCATCATCTTCATCCTCCTCCTCCCCCTCCTCTGCCTCCTCATTGCCCCCGCCCTGCTAGCTTTTGTTCCTCACCCCTTGGCCTCAAGTATAGGGACATGCACGCTGTAGAACTGAAAATCTGACAGACCAGCTCACCTACCAAGGATCCGCCAAAATTCGAGATCCACCGCCACCTCATGCAGAGGCGCATGAGACGTTTTGCGTGAAAAATGGATGGGGGAGACATGTAGAGATCATGAAAGTTGCTTGCGCAGGGACTGTCCTAAAAACTAGTGGCCCAAGCTAATTCTGCATTCTTTTGGGTAGCATGCCATTGCCCCAGGAAAGGCCTCCATTGCCGCGGAAAGTCAAAGGCTGGTGCATCCGAACTGGGCCGGTGATATTTGTTCTGCATCCCGATGGCCAGAAAGGACTAGCAATTGGCAGGCTTTATTGGCAGGCTTTATTGGCTTTATTGGACATTGGAAATGCATGGACATGCAACAGATGACTTTGCAGGTATGCCAAGACCGCCACCGTGCTGTGCTTACAAACTCCTTTTGGCACTTCCGCGATCAAACTGTTGCTCAAGAGATGACATGGTGATATTTGCGCGATGAACTTTCTGTCATGACCGTCTCCAGACTTGTTGTATGCCTCTGTATGCCTTATCCCAAGGTCCCAGCGTGAAGCCGAATTCTTCCGCCCTGGTAGTAGTTTTCTTGCAATTGGAGGGTGTGGCGATGATGGGCTCCATGTTTGCTGAAGACTGTCAGTTGCGGCAGCAATGCCCCGAAGGGATGGCAAGGTTCTTGCATTTTCTTACCAAGTGTCCATGGTAAAGTAAAAAAAGAGAAGAACCAAACCGAGTCAAAGTAGCCAAGCCATGTGAATGAATATTTGGACGCATTGTATAAATAATAGGAGAGGATTCGGAGATGATAGTTTATATGTGTACATACATGACATGTGATACATTTTCGAAGATGCTACGCAAGGCCGTCCAACTCAAACAAACTAGCAGCTTTCTGATTAGCTGCCTGACCTTGCTTCAGGCAACGGTGTGCGGTCCTCTCGCTCCCTACCTGTGAGTCGTTCAAGGAGTAGGCGCAGCGCCGCCAAGTGCCTTGTGAGGAAAAGTGAAACATGTTCAAAACCACTGTTGGGTGATGATTATAGGAGTTTCTACTACCCACTATATTGGGAATTCTCATATCTTTGAGGTTTCCAGTTAATGTGTGCAGAGACTCTCAATGCAAAAATGTTTGTTGTCTCAAGGGCAAATAGGTTAGTATGCATGCATGTAAGCATGTACCCAACGCTGTGAAGTGAAGGTCCTTGCGAAGACCTTTGTCAGTGCCACATCGGGTCGTCTCAACAAGAGGACAGAGACTGTGGATGGATTCTCAGCACTGTCATTAAGATGAGAGCAATGTATCCAAATGCAAAGTATGATTACTTGCAGGGGTTCAGTCGCATCGTTTCATTTCAGGTTCCCGATAATCCCTTCACCAGGAGAACCACGACCAAGTAGCCTTCGTCGTCACCACGACGCCAACGAGCTGGGAAGAAGCGATCGCAATGACCGCGGAGACCGCACCGACCGGCGCCGTGAAGAGCCGGGCGACCGCCACGACGGCCGCGATGGCCGTGACGGCCGTGACGGCTACGTGGAGCGCAGCCGTCGGTATGCCAACGACCGCATGGATCGCGTTGACCTTGACCGATTTTCCCCAACGGAGCGGGTGGAACGTGTGGAGCGGCTGGAGCGCTTGGAGCGCAGCGAGCGCGGTGAGCGTTATGAGAACAGCCGAGTCAAGGAGGGGAGCTTCGTGGAGCGTAGCCGTCAACGGACCTACGACGAGAGGTATAACGAACGCGGCTTTGCTGAACACAGCCGACTTGAACGCAGTGCCAATGAGCGCGGCGAGCGCAGCGAGCGTGGCGAGCGCAGCGAGCGCAGCGAGCGCAGCCACATTCTCAGAATGACAGCAGTGCACCATGACACGGAACCTATGTGCTTGATTTGCTGCGAATGTTTTGTTCATATCATGATGTGCAAAATATATCCGAATACACAATAGAGTACCGACTGTAGCCTACTTATCTAAATATTAGATTCGATACGTGGATACGTACATCGTGGACGTAGACATTGTGAGCATGAGATGACAAACATGCAGTAAAAGAAATGAACAATGCACATGGATTCAGGTAATTTGACCTTGATGTCCGACTTCATTGGGCTTGTACACTCTTCAAGAGCTGCTTAGAGCCAGGTATCGAACGAATTCATTAGAAACGTGTTTACCACCCAGGTGAGAAATGGCCCAACACCGGGGGTGAGATGAAGGTCCTACTCCCCAACGCGCTGGCTGAAGATCTTGATCGCGGCGGTGTGCTGACTGAGATTGCCAGCCAGACCAAGGCAATTGGTCAACTGCCAACTCCATGAGCAGCTGAAACTATGGGTGAATAGGCATAGCATATCAACGGGAGACAACAATAGAATAATTTAATTTATAGGTGGATCTACTGTTATCACCCTCACCTTTCCAGATTCTCTCTTTGTCTTCTTTTGCATTGAAACCAAGTTTTTAATTTTGGCCAGTTCCTTGTCACATGCTTCCTGATGATTGTGCGACAACTCAGGAGCAGTAGATTTCTCTTTGTTCTTGCCGTGTTCCTATCACTTTTTCTTTCGAATTGAAAGGAAGGCCCTTCCGACTGTTCCAACTGTTGCACCTGCCATTTGAGATATCCACCACAGCCGCAGGCCACGGTGGATCTCCACGATGCAGTGGGCGGGTTCTGAGCCCAGCGCCAACTTTCACATTTGATGACCGGGGTGGTGCCAGGTAACGAGTCTGGGGCTTTCAGTTTTTTTTTCAATTTGCGTTTGCTGTTTGCAAGTCTTTTGAGGCTGCACCAAATTTGCGAAGGACATCGTCTCTTGACTCTTCGCGGGCAAAAAGGCAGTGAACTGCAAGCGGCCTGTGCCTCAAATTTCCAGTTCCCAGATGCTCACTTTCTGGAAAAAACGATTCAATCATCTTGTATGCTCAAAAAGAAAACCGACTGAACTCGTCCATTAAATGCTTCGAACATCTTCGAACTAAATGTATTTCCCCAACAGCAAAACTTTGCTACGGGGTCTTTAGCCCAGATTATATAGCTCCGGTGCGATTCGGTGCAGCTTCAACACCAGGTTCCGGAGGGTTCTGGTGCAGATACCTCGTGAGGTTCCGGAGGGTTCCGGTGCAGATACCTCGTGAGGTTCCGGAGGGTTCCGGTGAAGATACCTGCTGAGGGTCGGAGGGTTCTGTGCGGTTCCGGAGGGTTCGGGTGCAGATACCTTGTGAGGTTCCGGAGGGTTCTGGTGCGGATGCTTTGTGAAATTCCAAAGGGTTCCGGTGTTTTTTTATGGCATAGCGGCATAACCACTTAATTTTTATGGCATAAGCGCTTAATTTTTATGGCATAAGCACTTTTTGTGGCAAAAACGCAGAAACTTTCAAGCTGTTGGGGATAGCACCTGAGGTTTTTTCCATGAGCCCCAGAATTGCACTGAAACAGTCCTTAGGCCATTCAGGCCTTGCTCGCCAAGGCCAGGACAAGACCTCTTACTCATCTCATTCGAGTCTGTCAAGTATTGTCAAGTTCGTTTTTGTTTCCAGAAAGATCCCAGCGAAGCAACATGAACTTTTGCTTCACCAAGTCCCACATGTTGTTCTTGCCAACCTCTAGTCCTTACAGGCCGAGACAATGAACCGACGGGGTTCAGGCGCCAGGGTCTTTTTTAAACAAGGTCTTGAAACCGTGCAGAAGATGGTCATCACAGGTCGCTCATGAAAGATGGGGTTCAAATTCACCAGATTCCATGGGTGGCTACATAACCATACGTAATGCATGTTAATGCATATTAATGCTAAATTTTAGGATGGTTGGATAACTACGTCAAACAATCGATCCTTAAACCGTGTTGAATATTCAACATGACCAGCCATTCATGGCATGGGTCCATGGGCACCTCATTTTTGAACTTTGAAACGCAATGGATGCACACATGCAGCATGGTATTTCCCTGCTTTCTCAAAATTCTTCGACCCAAAAGCTACATGAACTTCCAAATTCAAATGGGTTTCTGTTTCCGTATGCTCCGGACACACTGGGTATTTGGTTTCCTTTTTTCCCGCCGCCAAGATGCCCAACTTCCAAAGTCGGTCGCGAGGCTCTGATGTTCAACTGAAGGTTCTGCTCCCAAGGTGCCACCAGGGCGTGGCGGCGATGGTATGCTTGGAGGTTTTTGTATCGACAGTGGCAGACAATCCTAAGGATGAATTGAAGGACAAAAAGCTACTAGATCATCACAGAGCAGGAAGATCTTAAATCAAGCAAACAGCTGACAAACTACAATTTTTCCTCTGAAATCGTCATAGAATTGCCGCACATGGATTCAATTTGGTGTCATAGGGCCCAGCTTTCAATGACTTGGCTTGCAAGAGCAACAGCATGAGAGCTGTACCGCTCTACATGTTGCAACCGCTGTGGCCAGACATGTTGACATGGCTCAATCAACATTGTTTTTGATACCCACAACAAAGGTTCCTGGCCTCAGTTGTCATCGGCAAGCGTGGCTCCAACGTCAAGGCCGCGTCAAAAGCCACAACTGTGTTGTGCCCAAAAGAAAGTCTGCAGCAGTAGCTCGAACTAGTTCAAGGGCAGAGCGCATTTGTCCAGCCGCTGATAATGATATCGTTCTACAATTTCTACAAATCCTTGGGGGGTGAGCACAACAGGGGTGGATGCACGTTCCTGTTGAGTGAACAGAAGAACTGTGTATTGCCAGAAGTTCAGAAGGGGGGGATGATCTAGGTGATCACATGCAATCTTATGGAGATCCTGGAGTACTCTCCTTCCTTTCTGAAGATCTTCTCACATTTTGTCTCCAGGAACTACAGAGGGAAACTGGCACCCGAGTTCAGGTGCAGATTCGCGAAGCGTGCAGTTGAGAGAGAAGCATCTAGAAAACAAGGGAAAAAAGGAGGCTTATTCATGCTTATTCGACGTCTTGTAGTTGAAGCCGTCCATATGGATTGCCTGTCACAGGTGGAGGGTGGTGCGATGGGGCAAGATCGTGTAGCAAGCTGAGCAGCGCAAACAGGAAACACGATGAAAAACTGCGATGAAAGGTGTCAAAGTGTTTGTAGCTTGAGTCTTGAGTCTTTCCACAACAACTCGGAGTTCACAAGCAACACTTGGGTTGCCAATTGAGGTGACGACGGTAAGTGGATCGTCCACCTGCATTTGCAATGCGCTGGGGAGGATTCATCGCTTCGGCACCGAGGAGGAAGAAGACGCTGATGCTGGGCCCAAGATACTGTGGTCAGACGTGGTCAGTGGGTGTCAGTGGTCTATGGTGTTGTGCTGTACAGGGATGATGACCACCAGGGTCCGATCTTTCAAACCTTGGGAAACTGATTTTGAAGGATCAAAATAGACGGTTTGTTTCGGTTGTAATTCAGAGTGTTTTCCTTCGACCTCTTTGAGATCCACTTTGCCTACCCGGACAGAGCCCACCAGATCTCTGATAGGTCTATTGCATTGTCACAATTGTCTCTTTCTGGCTACTGCAGGTGCCAGAAACAGATGTCAGAGACCAAGAGAACGGGAGGCGCCATTGCGCGAACTTCAAATGAAGCCCGCAGTGGTTGTTCTCTTTGAAACACAAAAATGGTTCAGCACTGTTTCACTGTTTTATTGAATCATGATGTCGGTAAGGTTCAGGGGCCTCGAGCTGACGGTAAAGAATGGATGTAAATTTATCCCAAGACCGATCCCAACACATTTTTCATTATTTTTCCCAAGAGGATATTGTATTTAAATGTATTTAATTAATCTATTTAATACTGTAGTATTTCACATATTTCACAATCTTCGCAACCATTGGCAGGCCTCCGCGGACGCCCCGCTCGCGGACGCCACCCCCGCCGCCTTGGGAGCTGAAGGAGCACCCAGAGGCAGCAGGTGAGTACTACTACTTGAACACAGCTGGGGGCCCAGCATTGGGAGAAAATTCACATGAATGATAAATGAACTAGTTTGCTTGAAGATAAGGTCACCTTAGGTTGAAGTGCAAGTAGTAAAGTAGGGTGTGGTTAAGTGCTTACTCCCTCTTTCCCAGCCTTATTTCCTTATGGAGGCCTATTTATTTTCATTTTTTTTCACGGCATTTTTTTTTTTTTTTTGGTTCCTGGTTCTATGCTTTCCTGCTTTTCTGCTTTTCTGCTTCTTTGCTTCTCTGCTTTTCTGCTTTTCTGCTTTTCCTGCTTCTCTGCTTGTCTACTTCTCTGCTTTTCTGCTTCTCTGCTTTTCTGCTTCTTTGCTTCTCTGCTTTTCTGCTTTTCCTGCCTCTCTGCTTGTCTACTTCTCTGCTTTTCTGCTTCTCTGCTTTTCTGCTTCTCTGCTTTTCTGCTTTTTGCTTTTCCTGGTTTTTGCTTTTCCTGCTTCTCTGCTTTTCATGCTCCACCTGCTTCTTTTCTTTTCTGCTTCTCAACTTCTCTGCTTTTCTGCTTCTGTGCCTTTCTACTTCTACTATTCTACTTTATCTTTTCTTCAGTCATGTGTTTTTGCTGCTCTACTTCCTGCTCCTCTGCTTCTCTGCTTCCTGTCTTTACTGCCTCTTTGTTTTTTTCTTTTCTTTTGCTTTATTCTCTCCTGTTTGTATCCTAAATGAAACCCTAAAGACCCTAGGTGAAACCCAAAGAAACCCCAAAGAAATCCTAATAAGAACTCCTGATAAGAAACCTCTACATGAAACCCCAAAATGAACCCTAAAGAGACCATAAATTAGCCCTAAAGAAACCATAAATGAAAAATGAAACCCTAAGAAGCTTTGAATGAAACCCTAAATGGCATCCTAATAAAACCCTAAACGACACTCTAAAAAACCATGAATGAAACCCTAAATGAAACCCAAACTGAAACCCTGAAGAACCCGTAAACGAAACCCTAAATGAAACCCTAAAGAAACCCTAAATGAAACCCTAAATGAAACCCTAAAGAAACCCTAGATGAAACCCTAAATGAAACCCTAAAGAAACCCTAAATGAAACCTTAAATGAACCCCAAAAAAAACAAAATGTATATAACCTAAATTAACCCTAAATGAAACCCTAAAGAATCCCTAAATGAAACCCTAAAGAAACCCTTTACTAAAGAAACCCACATGAACGTTTGGAAATCCTGATAAGAAATCCTGATAAGAAAGCATTAAACAAAACCCTAAACGAAACCATAAATGAAACCCTTAATGAAACCCTAAATGAATCCCTAAAAAACCCTACATGAAACCCTAAAGAAAGAAACCCTACATGAAACCCTAAAGAGACCACAAAGAAACCCACATGGTCGTTTGGAAATCCTGGTAAGAAATCCTGGCAGGAAACCCTTAAATGAAACCCTAAATGAAAATAATGAAACTCTAAATAAACCCTAAACCCAAAGAAACCTTAAACGACAGCCTAAATGAAACCCTAAAGAATCCCGAAAGAAACCCTACATGAAACATCATGAAACCCTAAATGACACCCTAAATGAAATCCTAATGAAACCTAAATGAAACCCTAAAGAAACCCTAGATGAAACCCGAAATGAAACCCTAAAGAAACCCTAAATGAAACCTTAAATGAACCCCAAAAAAAACCAAAATGTATATAACCTAAAAAAACCCTAAATGAAACCCTAAAGAAACCCTAAATGAAACCTTAAATGAACCCTAAAGAAACCCAACATGTATATAACCCAGAAGAAACCCTAAATGAAACCCTAAAGAAACCCTAAAGAAACCCTACATGAAACCCTAAATGACACCCTAAATGAAATCCTAATGAAACCTAAATGAAACCCTAAAGAAACCCTAGATGAAACCCTAAATGAAACCCTAAATGAAACCCTAAAGAAACCCTGAAACCTTAAACCCTAAATGAACCCTAAAGAAACCCAAAAAACCCTGTATATAGAATGGGCTAACGTATATAGAATGGGCTAACGCCCTGGTGCCGCCGACCCCCCCATTAAGGGGCCCCGCTTGCAAAGGGAATGTAGCCAGTGACGTGAAGACAGGGCAAATCGACCATCGAACGGTGTGTGGGAACAAGTTTTCTGTGAAGGACGGCGTTGTGAAGGAAAAAGCGTATGTTTACGTTTGCCCCGCTTGCAAAGGGAATGTAGCCAGTGACGTGAAGACAGGCCAAATAAACCATCGAACGGTGTGTGGGACCAAGTTTTCTGTCAAGGACGGCGTTGTGCAGGAAAAAGCGTATGTTTACGTTTGCCCCGCTTGCAAAGGGAATGTAGCCAGTGACGTGAAGACAGGGCAAATCGACCATCGAACGGTGTGTGGGAACAAGTTTTCTGTGAAGGACGGCGTTGTGAAGGAAAAAGTGTATGTGTACATTTGCCCCGCTTGCAAAGGGACTGTGGCCAGTGACGTGAAGACAGGGCAAATAAACTATCGAACGGTCTGTGGGAACCAGTTTTCTGTCAAGGACGGCGTTGTGAAGGAAAAAGGTGGCAAACAGCAGGCTTGAACGCCGAGAGGAAGCCATGGATCTGGCTTTGGGGTACATTTTGATGCTTGTGCAGGCTGGCAAACGGCAGGCTTGGACGCCCAGTTGGCTGCGAACGCCTGGCGAACGGCAGGCTGGACTGCCCAGAAGAAGCGATAAATCTGGCCTTGGGGTAGCTTTTGCCTGCGCGGTTGCGCGTCCCATGCGCTTTTGCAGAGTTTTAACGGTTTTTAAGCGTTTTCGGGGTTTTAGGCGTTTTAAGCGTTTAGGGGCTGGCAAACGGCAGGCTTGGACGCCCATAAGAAGCCATTGATGTGGCCTTGGGGTGCCTGTTGGCTGCGAACGCTTGGCGAGCGGCAGGCTGGACCGCGCTTAGAAGAAGCGATGGATCTGGCCTTGGGTAGCTTGTGCCTGCGCGGTTGGGCGTCCCATACGCTTTTGCAGAGTTTTAACGGTTTTAAGCATTTTAGGGGTTTTAGGCGTTTTAGGGGTTTTAGGCGTTTAGGGGCTGGCAAACGGCAGGCTTGGATGCCCATAAGAAGCCATTGATGTGGCCTTGGGGCACCTGTTGGCTGCGAATGCCTGGCGAACGACAGGCTGGACCGCGCTTAGAAGAAGCGATGGATCTGGCCTTGGGGTAGCTTGTGCCTGCGCGGTTGGGCGTTCCGAAACGCTTTTGCAAGGTGTAACGGTTTTAAGCGTTTTAGGGGTTTTAGGCGTTTTAAGCGTTTAGGGGTTGGCAAACGGCAGGCTTGGACGCCCATAAGAAGCCATTGATGTGGCCTTGGGGTGCCTGTTGGCTGCGAACGCTTGGCGAACGGCAGGCTGGACCGCGCTTAGAAGAAGCGATGGATCTGGCCATGGGGCAGCTTGTGCCTGCGCGGTTGGGCGTCCCATGCGCTTTTGCAGAGTTTTAAAGGTTTTAAGCGTTTTAGGGGTTTTAGGCGTTTTAAGCGTTTAGGGGCTGGCAAGCGGCAGGCTTGGACGCCCATAAGAAGCCATTGATGTGGCCTTGGGGCACCTGTTGGCTGCGAACGCTTGGCGAACGGCAGGCTGGACCGCGCTTAGAAGAAGCGATGGTCTGGCCTTGGGGTAGCTTGTGCCTGCGCGGTTGGGCGTCCCATACGCGTTTTCAAAGTTTTAACGGTTTTAAGCGTTTTAGGGGTTTTAGGCGTTTTAGGGGTTTTAGGCGTTTTAAGCGTTTAGGGGCTGGCAAACGGCAGGCTTGGATGCCCATAAGAAGCCATTGATGTGGCCTTGGGGCACCTGTTGGCTGCGAATGCCTGGCGAACGACAGGCTGGACCGCGCTTACAAAAAAGCGATGGATCTGGCTTCGGGGTAGCTTGTGCCTGCGCGGCTGGGCGTTCCGAAACGCTTTTGCAGAGTTTTAACGGTTGTAAGCGTTTTAGGGGTTTTAGGCGTTTTAAGCGTTTAGGGGCTGGCAAACGGCAGGCTTGGATGCCCATAAGAAGCCATTGATGTGGCCTTGGGATGCCTGTTGCTAAGAAAGACAAGTTCCACACCTGCGGTGGTCCCAGGCACCGCCCCTGCCTTGGCTAAGGCCGGGGTCGGCGGATAACCCAGAAGAAACCCTAAATGAAACCCTAAAGAATCCCAAAAGAAACCCTACATGAAACCCTAAATGAAATCCTAATGAAACCTAAATGAAACCCTAAATGAAACCCAAAATGAAGCCCTAAATGAAAGCCTAAAGAAACTCTCAAGAAACCCACATGAACGTTTGAAGTACCAAAATGTAGCAAATACCATGCAAATGAGAGGTTGAAGTGCCAAAACATGGCAAATACCATGCAAAATGGAAGGCGAACATGGCCAAATGTAGCAAATGCCATGCAAAATGCAAAGTAACGATGCCAAAATGTAGCAAATACCATGCAAAATGCAAAGTAACCATGCCACCATGTAGCAAATACCATGCACAATGACAGATTCTAGTTCCAAACTGTTGCAAATACAAGGCAAATGGTACCAAGAAAGAAAGCCAAAACAAATCCCAAAACAAATCCAAACACTATTCTGAACCCTTTCCTCATTAGGTATGGTGTGACTTATGAATGATGCCGTATTGTGGAATTGTCATGGCATGGTTGGTCAGCCGCTCTCAGGAAACCGGTGAAACCACTTGGGACAGGCCTGATGAGCGAGCTCAGGAGCGATGTTTGCAAAATCCAAATCAATGATATTCAAAGAACTTCCAAAGTCCCGTGCATAATAGAGATGCAAGAAGGATCCAATGGGCACAGGCTTTAGGCTCTTTGGGCTTTGTGGATTCAAAGCCGCCGCGTTTCAGGATTCAAAGCCACTACGGCCGCCGCGGCCGCCTCCACCCTGGATTCTTCAAGAACACCCCGAAGTGGGCACCTCAGCTAAGCGAACTCGTCAGAACTCGTGGGAACTCGGTGGAAGCTGTGAATCCATGAGACGCGCCCTGGAACTGAGACAGCTGGGGAGTTCTACTATCTCAATGAGGCTGCGGAAAAACAGAGGGTTTTGGTCTATTTGGTCTGGTCTATAGAGAATTATCCCGGCAAGAGACCCCAAACAGTGTGGGGGAGTGGGAGGATAATGTATGATAATGTATGATAATGTTGATGATGATTATGATTATGATGATGATGATGATGATGGTGATGATGATGACGACGACGACGACGACCGTTATGATTAAATACTGTGTTAGTTATTATATATATATACATATAAATGTATGTATGTATATGTATATAATTGTTATTTCCACAACTGCTGCTTGTTATACATCCGATGGACACACCTGATTTGATATAAACCTATGATAGGGAGTTGAGTTTTTTTTTGGAAAATTACATAAAATATACAATCTCAATTTGCTTTTACAGCATGAAGATGCCACTGGATTGCTGCAGGAGACTGGAGAGACCTGCTGGGAGCTACCGGACAATGCATTCTAAGGTGTATTGGTCGTCGAAAAATGGCACCACGCCAGACTGCGGCTGTCAGACTGTTGTTAGTGTCGCATTTTGCACGGGAGTAGAGCATACTCCAAACCTTTAGAGGCTAGTTCCGGCGAGCCGTGTCTCCTTTGATCCCAAACTCTTTTCAGTTTGTTCGGACCTTTTGGACTCAGCTTCAAACTACAAGTTTTGGATCTCCAGGTTCGTGTTGACTTTGGTTTGAGCGCCTAGCAGCGGTGCAGCCATGGCACACATGGTAGCTGGTAAAGGTGTGAGGTGGTGAAGTCTGCGTGAAACATGTGCATTTAGAGTTGGCAACTGCCGCCTTTTCACTGTTCCAGGTGCCAACAGGAATAACTGTAGTTCCCTATAATTCTGCACAAGTTGAAGAATCCGAAGATTCCTGTACTTGCCTTGCAACACAATGCATGCTGTTGGAAACTCTATTGGAAAGCAGGTTGTTGGTGTCACGAATAGGAGAGACGGCCACCTCGTATTTCTCAATCTCAGCATGAAGGAAAGACACAAGCATCTGCCACCATCTGCCCTTTGATGAGTGCATCCTAATAACAAGAACCATATCAGACGACAGGCTGTGTTGGTTTCGTTTGGATCGTATATTGCAGCGCACCACAATGCTTCGTTTGGAAGCCTTTGACGCTGCAGAATTCGAAATGCTCTGACGAAGTCAGGCAGGGCCCCGAGGAGTGATTACCCAGTGCTTCAGAAAATCTGCACACAGCAAATTTCGAAAGCGAAGATGGAAGGATTCGGCAGGATCAGAATATGTACACATAATCTGGATAGAATAGATCAGTAGACATGATATGCGTCGATTTGTGATGATATGTGTTAATTATTGTTAATTGGATTTATTACATTTCACACATTTTATTTATTATATACTTGTCTTCACTTGTCTTCATGGGGATCCTTTTCCTTTCTTGCAGGCACTTCATGGCTGTTGGCTCTATACCACCTCCTTGGGCCGAGGAGCGGCAGGGTGTTGAGGGATATATTTAGCGGGATATAGCGGGCTTATTTTACCAGATTTTATAAACAATTTACCGTAATTTACCTGTTTTACCGAGCTTTACTAACTTTATCTGTTACAGCCTGTTACTTTTGGGGACCATCATGCAACCCCCGTCAACCAACCCCGTCTCAATTGATTCAGTGGGTTCAGAATCCAGGAAAATTACTTGCATCCAACCCATCATGCATATGCTGAGACCAGTAGACAGAGTTGAGGAGGAACAGACTCATTGTGACCGGTTCCTGAAAGGAACGCTGAACAGTATTTCAGTCGCAAAGATGAGATTGAGTGAACATTGAACATTTCAAATTTTAACTTGTTCACAAAACAAGTATCCCTAGGGTGATTGCTTTTCAGGGAAATTTGACAAGTGGTTTTTTCAGGCTACGAACCAGAGGCTGCAGAGATGTTGCCCATCATACACATGTAGGGATTTCATAGACCCCAATACACTTCCACCAGATGCTCTTTCAGTAGGCCAGCAAGCAACTTATGCTCTCTCATCAGCGCCCTTGCTGTGCGCGCATGGACAAAATTGGCAGGTGGCTCTGTCGATTTATGAGCTCCATGGAACTTCTGCCCTGAACCTACTCACACGAGCTGCCGACATGGGAGGTGCACACCCAGGGGATTTTTACAAGAGTTCGTTGCCTCGCTATCTGGCCAGCGAATCAGAAGAACCTTCAAAAGCAGATCTTTGGAAGACTCAGTGGACGTTTGCACTATCACTATCGTTTGTTTCTTTAGGATGGAAACAAATGTTCTTGCTTGTTTGGCATGTATTGCACTGCTACCTTCTTCGTGTGAGGTGCGTATCATGTCGGCGTTGAGGCGTTCGAAGCAGTCAGCACCCACATTTGGAGTCAGAGTGTTTACCCCTGTTGTGTTGCTGTGAAGGGCGGGAAAGGGTTTTTTTGTGCAATGCAGATAATGCAGGTCTATTTTCTGGAATGGTCATTTGGCTGGTGTGAAGAGGGCAGTGGAGTTTACATGGCTGCAGACTGAGCAACACCCGCATTCCGGGATCTGCAGGAGATGAAGATTGAGATGTTTGTATACAAAGTGGTTGCAGCTACACTACTATAATATCAGAGATTTGGGGCAGTCAAACTGATTGACAAGAGTTAAAAACATGTCCTCAGCTCTGAGGTTTTTCCCGGGCAGAGCACTTTAGGCACATTTCGCGAACGCGTTCCATTGGGCCGTACTCCGCTCACGCCCCAGGAGGCGCAACGGAAAGCTGAGAGTTTCTGATTCTAGGGGGCTATATAGGCTATACAGGGCTATACATGCTCACATTATACACATTATACTGTTTTACCGTATATTATATATATTCCATTGTCGGAACCCTGATCATTTGTCCTTCACTGCCGTTGTCAGGTCTTCAGGATTCTTGACATGATGAGGCAGCTGTGCATCGCTGTGGCGTTTTTTTCGGCACACTTCCCTCACCAATCTCCTGTGCCTCCTGTGCTCTAAGGCAAGAATTGCCGGGATCCAAATACGACTTGTTGCGCCGCGCGCTGAGATGCTTTTGACCGCAGCGACTTTGCACATTTTGTCCGTTGGTCAATCTGCAGTGCCAAGCCCTGTTCAGGTTGTAACTGTGCTCACTTTAGCGTCTCCTTCGTGAAGAGGTTGCGCGTGAGTGAGGCCGAACATGATCAAAGTCGAGTGGATCCCTTGTTGACAAGTGGCTAACATGTCAGTAGAAAGAAGGGGTGGAGCACCTGTGGAGCACCAACAGCACAACAACATTGAAGACCTTCAAGATGTGGTAGGACTGCTACAGTGCTACGGAAAGCAAAGATCTTGTTGTATACGTCACAATGTCTATAATTAGTACATAGCATGGCCTGACATCCCGCTCTGCATGGGATAAAGGGGAGCCTCTTGTAGACCAGGATTTTTTGACGTAGCTGTAAAATATCATGGAAGCAGTTCAGAAGCAGCCTCAAGCATTCTTTGATGTTCTTTGACTTCGGCTGACCCTTTAGCTTTAGGCTTTAGCTAATGCAACATTTTGGATGTCCGAGTTGCACATTTTGTTGCGCTATATAATTTGGGCCGTTGAAGGAATAGAAGGCTGTTTCCTGCCTTGAAAGCAAGACATTGAGGATCCTGTTGCTTTGCTTGCAGGCGCCAGCCTGGGTGAATTCGCTGGCGAATGTGGGAGAACATTTGGTAGCGCAACTGGGCATGGCAGGCACGTTTACTGTAATTCATGATAATTCATGCATGCTGTGTTATGCTGTTTCAAACTTGTTGGACTGAAGCAAATAGCATTCCTTTGCAGCTAGACAGAGAACATCAGAGAACCCTGGACAAGAGCTTTGTTTTGTGAGCGGTGTCTTGTGATCCTTGTTTACAGTTCGAAGGATAAAGAACACATATAGAACACATCAAACCTACCACTGGGCAGAGTTTGCCGGGGTCGCAGGTGCCCAAGCCGCTGCAAATGCCGCCACTCCAGCAGAGAGGAGTGCTTTGGGGATACCAAGAAGCTTTAGCATGCTTTATGTAACACTATGTAACACTTTAGAATCAGTTAGGAGATCGTTTGAAAGATGTTCGCATTGTACCCTCAAAATCCCTGCAGGACTTTCACATTCATGATGAGTTAGCGGATTTACTTTGCCTTTGACAACTGCAGAATGAGTCATCATTTGTCACAAATGCAGCAGCTCATAGCAGCTCAGTTAGATGACTTGCAGCTCTTCAGGGACCGAGTCGCTCCTAGCTATGTGCGGTTTGGCCACAACCTTGGTGGACCAATGAGCACCTGCTGTTCGTTTACTTTACAAATTTTACAAGCCCATTGTTACAGTAGAAGATTTCCACCTGTCCAGCCTACATAAATAAGAATTACTGGCTGAGAGGCGTACTCAGTATAGGATAGGCGGCTCCAATTTGAATGCGGGTGACGCTTCTGTTGGAAGACATGCAATTGGCATTCGCAAGAAACAATACAGAACATCACATATAATACCATTTCATATGGTGGGTATGGTGTTTCTAATTCCACGCCATACCCAAAGTTCCATAGGTAACCTCAATCTTGATGTGAAGCAGCCACTCAATGGATTGGTTTAAGAGAAAATATACAGGAACTGGAACCCATGGTTTTTACCATCAAGTATAGTAAGTATACGTAGGGTTTTCCGAAATTTCCCATGTTTTCCTCGAGCTTTTCCTCCTGTTTTTCAAGAACGAGGTGACGAGGAGGAGCTGGAGGACATGGCAACAGATGGCGACGAGTTGGCTCTCAGGGAATTGGCATGGCGCAATGCCCAGGCAGACGGCATGGATTAGCTGGTCATATGATGTCATACATGTCATATACATGTCATATGGGCAAAGTGAATCAAAGTGAATCAAAGTGAGGCAAAGTGAGGCAAAGTGGCAACTTGAAGGTACACGGTATGCGTACTACAGACTCTATGAACCATACTTAACAGTACTCCAACTATTTTTATTCATTTTTTGGTTTCAAGGTTTGTCCAAACAGGGGCATCCCTAGAATTGAATGGCTATCATTTTTTTCTTCAGCAAAAGGATAATTTTGGTATGCCTCATTCTTGGACCAACCGTTGACATTGTAAAAGTGGAAACACATGGTCTGCTTGTGCTCAAGAGACAAAGCTTCACAGAGTCGGTTCGACCATTTCCATGGGCAAAGATGAATTGCGCTCGATGTTGCAATGTGAAGGATGATTTTGCCATATTTTGCCTCTTTGTTAGACACAAGAGTTGAGAGAACTTTGTTGAACATGAATGCGTCAGAAACTTCGACAGATTTTCAGATACTGAGAGTGCCGTTTTTAATTGTGATAACCGTGACAGCCGTCACTGCTGTCCAGACCTACACCCTGGAGAAAGCAGCTGAAGCTGAACGAGATGCCCGTTGCCTCGACTTGGCTATGGAGCTCAAATGGAGCCATCCTGGCTCACTTGGCATGGAATATGATCCCAGACTCAGATTTTTTTTTGACATTCCCTGAAACATCTGAAACAGTTTCAGAATGTTTCAGAGAATTGAAATGTTGACAACGTTGACGTGCACTCCAGAAGCTTATCTTCCTCTTGTGCCAGACTCTGCTGATCAAGACATGGGAACCAAGATCTTGACAGTGCTGGATGACTTGAGGTGGGGGGCAGGGAACAGTCAGTGCTTCCATTTTTCTTCACTTTCAGCAGCGCTTCACTTTGTTGCTCCAGGCTTTGGCAAGCGCTGGCGGAGGCACGTGTTGTGATATGTTGTGATTGGTTTCAGAACTTGCGGCTGCAGGCTTGTGCAGCTGGATTTGGCTTGCCATACCCCCATACTCAGAACCGGCGCGAGGCTCGTTTTACTTGCCCACTGAAGCTTTCTCTCAGGGATTGATTGAAAGGCTCTATATTGCCATCTCACTGTGATTTTATGTTTAGGAGTACGTACGTATATACCGTATATATATATATTATTTTATATTTGATCAGCGCCGCGGAAAACAAGATAATTTTTCCATCCTTCGTAGTGCGATTTCTGAGTGAAGGCAGGATGGTCCTTGCTTAGCGAAGAAGAATCTGAGGAAGAGATGGAGGCGGCGGTTTTAGTGATCTAATCAAGTAATGACCAAATAGACTTTTATGTATGCATATCCATATCCATATCCATATCCATATCCATATCCATATCCATATCCATATCCATATCCATATCCATATCCATATCCATATCCATATCCATATCCATATCCATATCCATATCCATGCACACATGCATACATACATGTATTTAAATATAAATAAATAAATAAAAATGAATAAATCATTATATATATAAAATCCCCGTGGCAATTTCCACTCTAGAACTGGTGAACCTGTGCATAGTTTAAACGAAATGCTTAATGTATTGGAATTTTAAAATTGATGTCAGGCTAGTCATTTTATTGTTGGGGGGTTGGGCTAAGCATTTTATTGTAAAGGTAAATCTTGATGATTTTTAACATGTTAAATCATCTTAAAATTCCATTCTCATTTTATTGCAAAAAATGTTTGCTTGGAACATTTTATTGCAGAATGGAACCAGTGTTTTTCCAGGATCTTTTTATATCGATTTTATTGGGCATGTCATTTTAGATCAGCGAACGTTAAGGAATTTGAAGGAATTCTCGGGAATTTTAAGGAATATTAAGGAATTTTAAAGGAATTATAAGGAATATTAAGGAATTTTAAAGGAATTATAAGGAAATTTCAGGAATTTAGAGAGTTTTAAGGATTTTAAGGAACCTCAGAGGAATTTTCAGGAATTTAAAGGATTTTGACGGAATTTGAAGGATTTTTAAGGATCTTTAATGTTTTTAATAAATTTTAAAGGATATTTCAGGAATTTTAAGGAGTTTTTTGGAATTTTAAGGAATTTTACGGAATTGCCACGAAAGAATGCCACCGTATTTTGTTGCTATAGAATGCTATTTAAAAAAACGCACACTAAATATTTGGGCACCTTCACTCTAAAATACCCCTATCTAAAATGGATTTCCTGACCTCTTTTTAAAGATGCGTTTCTGAGGGTCTTCAAAATTGGATGAAATTGGATGATGTTGGATGCACATTCAAGCATGAATTTGGTGGCAAGGCATTTTATTGCAGAGCCAATTTTCATTGTTTTTGTGCATTTTGAAGCCTGAGACCTATGCACAAAAGTTAGACCGCTCTAAAACTCCTGCACAGCTTCACATAATGAATTGGCACCCCGATTATATATATATATATTGATAATTATATATATATATACCCAATATACAGAGACATGAAATACAGTCGCCAGAAGAGCTAAGCGAGTTGCGAAGCTGGAGAAACACATTGTTTTCTAGGGGATTTGCCAAGATCAGGCCACGTGCTTCTATTTTCGTTACAGGCAATACAATGTGGTACATAGCAGTACCCTGTTGTCCGGTGCAGTTCAGCACTTTGCAACATTGTAACGTGCTTTAGTGCAGTGGCCCGCATTTGGACAGGGCTCAGTCACCGGCTGAATCAGGGTGTCAGTCACCTCGTTCGCTCATTACATAAACATATCCCTTTGTCCATGCTATGATCAATCACTTTTCCACTCAATCAATAACTTGTTTACTCTGTCTTCATTCAATCAACAGCTGTTAGATTAATCAATGAACCCACCACTTGCTCAATTGGCAAAATAACAAAATTGCACGGGACCCGGGATATGTGATAGCACGCATTCTGAAAGCTTTGAGCAAGCTTTCGAGTCACTCTCGATACGTAAGGACGATGGCACATGTGGGAACCTTGAAGTCTAGGGCTTAGCTGGTTTTGGCATGTGTAGATGCAAACAGCGCATGTTTGAGGCTTCTTAAGAGAGTGCTTAGTCTATGCCCGAGCCAGAACCCCTGGAGCGTGGCTTTGTATAGGTAGCAGTAGCGGCACTTTCTTTGCTCTTTCACATAAGACTCATTCCACCTTCAAAGGCTGCGGGAAATTAACGGAGAATTTCCGCCAGATTTTCATGCATCTCAATTGACCTTGACCATTAAGAATTAACATCCACTACCAGTAAGATCAATTTTCACGGAACATCCATGGTCCCATGAAAATATCATAAAATATCAATGGAATTCAATGGACATCTTTGAGTTGAAACCATCCTGCGTGCAAAACGAAGCTTATGGATCTTATGGGCCTTTTGGGTCCAAGGTCCACAAGCTCCTCCGGGGTTCCAGCAATCGGCTGCTGATGCTGCGGCTCCGCCTGCGGGGTCGAGCCTTGGGATCCAAGGCGGGAAGGGATGTAATGGAACGTTATGGGCTGGAAGGTCAACCCAATGATAAACGTAATAAACCACTATCATATCTATCATATCTATCATATCTATCATCAATGGGTGCCAAATGGTAGGTTTATTACGTCATTTTGCGAAATTGGTTGGTCCGTGTTGGTCGATCCAAACAGAAAATCGGTGGTCTCCTGGGTCTGAAACGCGAGCATATCAGGTGGATCTCGTTTCCCTATGAAATCTATGAAGATGTGTTGCAATATGTTGCATATGAAGTGGCTTTTGGGGATATGTGCCCTCATCATGGCCAGGGAGAGGCGCCATCCTGGCGTGGTGCCAACTTTCGGGAAGCCCTGCGGCAAGCGGTGGCACCCAAACGAGGACCTCCAGCTTTTGCATTCGTTGCTCGTTTGAACAAGCCTTGAAACACCCTTCGCAACCAAAAGCGTGTATGGAGGACTTTCAGTGAGATGGCCTGCGTCAAACTGACGCGTTTCAGCATTACGGGGCCAGTGAGCACTACTTTTCAATTGTGTTTGCTGATGGAAGACATTTGCCCATGATTCGAATGATTCCTCGCTGCCATGGCTTCGCAACACTTTAGATATCTTTAGAATTCTTTAGATACTTTAGCTTTAGCCACTTTAGCCCCTCTGTGATGACCTGCCAGGGGCGTGCCACAAGCCATCGCTAACCTGGAGGTGGTCACAGCGCCTGATCAAGCTCTCTTTGGCTCTCGCGTAGAGACCAGTTGCGGCCCCTACTCTTCGAAGGCCGATGCGTCCGAAACCGCTCTGATATGAACCAATCTGAATCAACATGACTTTTGAGTGGGTCGCTCTTCCATGGGAAGCCTAGAGCTTGGCAAGTGACTGCAACTAGATTTGATCCCTTGTGCTCGAGTGATTTCTGTGCTATTTTGGCCACTCGTACTTTCTACTTCAACTGAAAATTTCAAAGGAGTAGATCAGCTGAATCCAGACTGGCCAAACAAGTTGGGCAGAAACTTGCAAGTAAAAGAGCCACCAGTTGAACCTTGGGGGCAGCAATCTCACTGGCATGAAAGAAGTCAGGCCTTTGAAGCGCAGCCATATTTTCCTTAACTTTCCTTAACTCACAATCTGTTCATGTCTGTAGCTCTGTAGCTTGTGTTACATAAAAATGGCTGACATTGGCTGACGGAGTTTTGGGGTCCATTCGTACCGCAGTTTTTGGAGCCACCGGATGCAGCTTCCGGCTTCGGCACAGGTCCTTCATTCGCAGCCCAAGAAGACAGCTGCAACTTCCTCATATCCCGCCAGGTGGGGAGTCGAAGTCAGCTGGGTCATCTAGGCGATTTTGGGCCACATCGCTTGAGCCTTTGTGTTAGCAGGCATGGATTGGCGAGGAACCATGACTTGACCCAGTGATATGGGGTTCAACCACCAGTTGGGAAGGTACTGACCATGCTTTCGATTCCTTGGATGATCACCCACCAGACCTCCCAGGAAGGAGACGCGTGAAGTGGCACCAATACTTCGAGTCGGACAAGAACTGCAACAGTGGCAGAATCAGCAGATGCAGCTCTGGCAGTCTCAGTCTGCAGCCTCAGAAATTGATTCACGAAGCGACCGAAGCGATCATGGATAGTTTGGCTATGTAGAAAACCTGTAGAAAACCTGTAGAACACCCAGCATTTCATCGAGGCAGCAGCAGCTGCCCCAGTGGAAATGGCAAGTGCAGCAGTTGCAAGTGCGAGAACCACGTCCTCAATCTGCCGAGCAGCTTGTCTTCCAAGATCTTGCAAACGACGAGAATTGGAAGTGCCGAATCGTTGTTTCTTCTTGTGCCTGAATGCTACTAAGTTTGGGACTGTAATTCAACACGCCATTGCCATGGTGCCGTTCGGATTCTGTGAACAAGAATGAAGAGCTGGATTGATGTCAGTCTGTGTAATAGAGGAGCTCCGTTTCATGTGGCTTGGAGATCATGACAGGCTCAGCTCATGATTCACTGGCATGGGCAAGGGTCCAAACTCGTCCCAATTCATGGGTTTCCAGCACTTTCACTCCGTAGCTCTTGGTGGTTTCAAACATCTCATATTCTCACCCTGGGATATATGATACTGTATATCTTTGGGATGGGTTGAAACCACCAGCCATAATTTCGACCTGATTCCAACCGCAGCAGACATGCATCAGGCGAGGTTTGCGACCTCGTGATTTGCGGCAACTGGATGGTGGCGTGCCATCAGACAAGGCTGACGTTGTCTGTTGGAAAGTGCTGCCATCCACCGGTCGATGACTGGGCTCATGTAAAGGCTGAGCGTGAACGAGCTTACTTTATCGTTCGCTGCCAAAGAAACAACTTTTTGAAGTGTGTAGGGATGGTAGGGATGGAATGCGCTGTGCTTTGAGTCAGACCCCCTCGCTTCCATGAGATTTGAGCTAGGCTAGGGCTTCAAAATGCATAGCATCATCAGCTTCATGGGTCATGCGCCCGTATTGTCAAAGTGAGCTCTTGGAGCTGTCCTGCTGCAACAAAGAGCAATGCCATAAACATTGAGAAACAACAAGGCAACTGAGAAACATTGAGAAACAACAAAGCAGATCAAAGCAGATCAAAGCAGATCAAAGCAGATCAAAGCAGGTCCAACAGAGTTCTAACAGAATCACAAACTCTCGCCCTGTCGAACCCTGTCGGGCCCTGTCGGGCCCTGTCGAGGTGGAGCAGTCTCTTCTCAAGCTCCAGAAGATCCAGCAGCTTGATCGGCTGAGACGGCAGCGGTGACAACGGTAACAACGGTGACAACGGTGACAACCGACACACAACAGGCCAGAGGTCTGAAGTCGTAGCATCTTGTGCTTAGCACAATTTTCTCGTAGAATGTCTAGTCAGAGTCTAGTGGCTTACGATGTCCAAGACAATCGTTGAGCTTCAGCACGGAGGATTTCAAAAGACGGCAGCTGCCGGAAAAGTTGCATGAGGCTTTAAGTAGATGGCCACACGACATAGCCACTATGCGAGCGTGCCCTTGTTCATGGTCCATAGTGCTGCTTTGCCTCTAAAGCTCTGTATCAGCTCGAGCTCATGTCAGTGAAGAGGGCAGGGCAGAGGTTATGAACATTCTTGCGAAATGGTACGAAAGTCCATGACTGCACCATGCAGCAACCTTCAAAGTCGACTTGCCCTCACTGGTGGACGTCAAAGCATTTTGAACAGACAATTTATGTCGACTTGGCTGAAAGATGCCACGTGTTTTTGCTTCCGTTGTAAGCAAACCAACTACCCAGGGCTTTCACCTGTTTTTTGTGAGTATTTCGTCATTTCGTGGGTATTTTGCAGCGATTCTGTCGTGTGAGAAGCCATGGCAAAGCTTAAGCGGAGACTTCTGCGGAGCTCATATGTTTCGCAGTGGATCGCATGGCTGCTCGCCACTTGATATCAACTGGATTCCTATGGATTCCTAGTCGATTCCTAGTCATATCTTTTGAGCTTTGTGCCAGTGGAAGGGTGCCTTCAGTGGAGCTTTACTTTGATCGTTTGCAGAGTTTTTAGTCAAGAAGTCACAGAACTGCCCAAGAAAGCCTGGTCTCCACGCAACTCATGGTTGAAATTCTGAATCAGCTAAATATATCTAAATATAATAGTTTCAGCCGGGTAGCTATTGATCCACCGCCACAGCGCCCATGACTGCAGGTATGTCTTTGGCTGCTAAGTCCTGACCGATCCATGGATAGCCAGGAGGTTGGCTTCTCGCTGCCAAAGCAACAGCGAAGGGCCAAGGTGGTGGTTACTGATGTGGCTACTCAGATGAAGTGCTAACTGCTGCTGAATTGCTGACTCAACTGATCCGAAAGGCTTTAAAGATCTTTAAAGATTTTAAAGACTTTACAAAGGAAGCACAAAGATTGCATGCAGGCTGATGCTAGGTTATTGAAGCCTTGCAGTTTTTGAAGCTTCCAGTGAGCCTGAAAGAGCCTTATATCATATCGGCTCCTGGTGTGCTTTCCGCAGTAGACCGAACATCTTCGTATTTGTTTTGTGTGCAATACACGCTGGGCATGTAAGGACGGTACCTTGATGAATTTGGCCCATGCTCTACCAGATGCGCATCGCGAGGCTCCCAAGTGTCTTTGAAAAATAGAGGTACACTCGTCGAGGGTGAAAATTCGATAGTGCTTGAGGCGCAGGCTTGTTGCGCTGGGAAATATCTCTTTCTGAGAGCCACGCTTGTTACGTCGAATGTCACACAATGTGAGACACTTGCAGATGTGCCAGCCATGAAACGTTCAAAACGAAGCAACATGGGTAGATTGGGTTTCTTTGCATTGCGAAGTGGCTATTCCAATCACGAGCACGCCTCGACTTGAGATTTCCTCACCCTGCAGGCACTTCGCGAGTGTGTTCGCCAGGGCATTCCGGTGGTCTTTGCGACTGGAAAGCATCGTGGCCCTTGGGTTCAGCGACTTCTCTCGCAGGCGTCGGAGTCCTACAGTCCTACAGTCCTACAGTCCTACTGCTTGATTGTGACGAACCAGATGTTGATGAGTTTGGTGGGAAAAAAACTATCAAAATTCGATAAAACCAGACAATGTCAGATGCTTGAGATGGGGAAGCTGGTGAGTTTGTTGGAAAAACATGTCATACCTCTGAGAATCAAAACAATCTAATCCACCAAGAATGGTTGTTGATTTGAACGATTTCGCGTTTTAGTTCACTCCTAGTGTTGTCTTGCTCGCTATGAAACGGTGCACAGTGGTCGCCGGTCAAAGACGTCTCGCTGTCCAATTTGTTCCGCGTCCATGCAATATTGTACTTCCAGATATACACATTTGTAATCCAATATGTATATAGCATACAAATATAATATAATATAATATAATATAATACAATATAATACAATACAATACAATACAATATAATATAATATAATATGTATTGTCTACTTGTGGATGATGTGGATGTGTCTTCGACTTGGAGACTCAAAAAATGTAGCGCTCCCAAGAGAAAGCTTGACAATTGCATGGACGTCTGCTTGGCATTAGGTGGTTGACACCGAGATTCAAGCCCTGTCCCCATGGACTTTGAATGCGCCTGGAGTCTTTGTGCAGGGCCTTCGCGTCTGCGACGCTGACGGTCAGGCGCTTCAGTATCAAGTGGAGTTCAATGAATCTTGAAGATTTGGATTATTTTGAATGAAAGTAAGCTGCCTGCATTTTGTTCTGCGCAGTTCATGCAGAATGGGCTGGTTAGTTGCATGGGCAACTAAGGCCATGATATCTAAAAGAAAGGACTGCATAAGGTGTTTTTGCTTCTCAAACACGACTCAAACACGACTGCTGACTGCAGATGATGCGTGCTCCCATTTTGTGCGGTGATTTATCAACAGGAGGAAAAAGCTTGAACAATAGAAAGAAACCAAATGTTGGGTACCATCATGTACCAAAATCCAGTGATTAATCTGATTAATCCTCATGTTTCCTTACTAAACATTGCAATTAAACTCGGGTCCATCCCCCATTTCTGCCCGCCATCATCTTCCCCTGCAGGTCGTAAGCTCCACATTGTTGGAGCGGAAGATAGCCAAGGTCTGCAGTGATTTGGCGCAGAAGAATGGCTGGACTCTGTTGGCCTACACTGTGGCCTGGCAATGCAAAAGATGGTGAAGTTTGAGCAGATCCGCTATAGAATGCCACTGCTATGTATATATCTATATCTATATATACATACATAATCATATATATATATACACATTAATATACTATATTCGCATAATTCCTTGAAAAATAGGTTTGAAGTTGAAGTTGAGAATCAGCGTGCCGTTTGCTGAGGACACAGATGAAATTTGGAGCAGCTTGGCTCAACTGGCCCTGGACATTTGTGCAGGTCAGGCTTCGGTACTTCAAGTATTGGATGATCAAAAACCACCAAGTTCTGCAAAGAGGTTAGAAAAAATGATTTCAAGCTAAAAATGATGATCTTTCAAGACTTTACAAAGATCTATCTGTAAAGGCGGACCTAGTGAGGTAATCAACCTGATCGTGACCATCTCTGGCAAGAAGCTCTAGGCGAGCCACCAGCGCCTGGGCGATATCCATAACCCGGAGCACGGGACCACAGTTTTCGGGATCAGTAAGCCATTCCACACCCAATGACTCGACACACACCCAGACCCAAGTGACCAACACTGGTGCCACATATTTGGGTTGCAAATATCCCATTGCGGGAGTTGCGACGTGTCATCAACCTACAGGATGCCCTCCAAAGATATACTCGGTTAAGCATGAAAGGCTCAATCATTTTATTCTTCTGTCCCAAAATAGATCTTCATGGTCCATGTTAGTCGAATGAAGATTGTCAACCACATATGGGAATCCAGACCTGCTTTGTGCAATCAGAAGATTCATGAAGGTTCTCCACTTTGCTTCGCTGCACTTGGGCCGAGTTGATGGTTAAAAGCCTGGATGACTCCATTGGTGTTCACAAGTTGATCTTCCTTGGGCGGCCAGAGGATGAGCAGGAAAGAGACACCCGTTGTCGTGACGTCGTGTACTCACAAATCCCGGGGACTGAAACTGCAAGATACAAACATCTGGGAATGATGCACATGGTGTCCCAGAACTTCATCTCCCAAGACCACATTTTAGGGTAGCTGAGTTTTGACATTCTGTAGTATTCTGTAGCAAGGTATTGAGACCTGCAAGCACTTTTTAAAATACAGTCACCACAGATGGGGACAAGTTTTTTGTCGTCTCAGATGGCTGGACAGCACGTTTATATAATCACCGCTCCGTTTGCAGGATTTGCGACGGTCAATTGAATCAAAAGTGGGTGAGGAGGCGAGGGTCCAGGGTCAGGTTGTGTTGTGTTTTTGAGAAACACATCCATTCTCCAATACTGACAGTTGAGCCATCAGCAGAAGCAATTGGAGTCCATCCAATTTGCAAGGCCTCCATCACAGTAGCAATTGCTGGGATGGTTGAAGTTCTGCCAAAGGGCACGTCAAAAGCGAAGGGAGTGAGGCGTGGACAGCGGTTGGGTCAGTGAACCTCCAATTGAGAGGGTTAACGAAACTTTAGATCCCTTGAAGAATGCCTTACGGCGGTCCCTGTCTTGTCTCATTACCAGCTCTGAACTTCATGGGACACGTGTGTCAACTGGGAGAGTATCGCACACAAGCTAGGGAAAAGAGGTATCTTGCATGTGAAGAGACCACAAGGGGAACAGGGAAAGAAGTGTCTTGTCCAGCGGACGAGCTCAATTTGACAATTTGATGCTTCAGTTTTTTGTCACTGGAGGCTTGCTTTGGAAGTCTTAGATGTGGACCCAAGCGAAGTTCTAGCTTTGGGCGACGGCGAAAATGATGTCGAGATGATGGAATTGATTCGAAGCTTGGCTGATTTGATGCGTTTGGGACTACTTGGTGGAAAAAAGACATATTACCTGAACACAGCATAAGCCTTAAATATCCTAGCAAGACTTCGGTAATCCTTGAACATATACTTAAATCGATTAGATAAGACTTAAGTAGACTCCTAAGTA